TTAAAATATCATCATGTTACAGTTACTAAGCTCTTGAAAATAGGTTTTGTTTGTGGTCTTTGAATAATTCTCGAAAATCAGTATTTATTAATTCAAGTATACCCAAATCATCGTTTAAAATATCATCATGACCAATAAAATTCACTTTTGAAGACTAGTCTTTGAGTTTTGTAAGCCTACAGAAATCTATGGACTTTTTTGAAGATAGCTGACAAATTATTGGGGAATTTCTATTCAAGCTCATTTTCAGGCAGAATATTCAAAACTGTACAAACTAGATTTCTTTAAAAATGCCACAGTTACTAATCTCTTGAAAATAGGTTTTGTTTGTGGTCTTTGAATAATTCTCGAAAATCAGTATTTATTAATTCAAGTATCATCATGACCAATAAAATGCATTTTTGAAGACTAGTCTTTGAGTTTTGTAAGCCTACAGAAATCTATGGACTTTTTTGAAGATAGCTGACAAATTATTGGGGAATTTCTATTCAAGCTCATTTTCAGGCAGAATATTCAAAACTGTACAAACTAGATTTCTTTAAAAATGCCACAGTTACTAATCTCTTGAAAATAGGTTTTGTTTGTGGTCTTTGAATAATTCTCGAAAATCAGTATTTATTAATTCAAGTATCATCATGACCAATAAAATGCATTTTTGAAGACTAGTCTTTGAGTTTTGTAAGCCTACAGAAATCTATGGACTTTTTTGAAGATAGCTGACAAATTATTGGGGAATTTCTATTCAAGCTCATTTTCAGGCAGAATATTCAAAACTGTACAAACTAGATTTCTTTAAAAATGCCACAGTTACTAATCTCTTGAAAATAGGTTTTGTTTGTGGTCTTTGAATAATTCTCGAAAATCAGTATTTATTAATTCAAGTATACCCAAATCATCGTTTAAAATATCATGACCAATAAAATGCATTTTTGAAGACTAGTCTTTGAGTTTTGTAAGCCTACAGAAATCTATGGACTTTTTTGAAGATAGCTGACAAATTATTGGGGAATTTCTTTCAAGCTCATTTTCAGGCAGAATATTCAAAACTGTACAAACTAGATTTCTTTAAAAATGCCACAGTTACTAATCTCTTGAAAATAGGTTTTGTTTTTGGTCTTTGAATAATTCTCGAAAATCAGTATTTATTAATTCAAGGATACCCAAACCATCGTTTAAAATATCATCATGACCAATAAAATGCATTTTTAAAGACTAGTCTTTGAGTTTTGTAAGCCTACAGAAATCTATGGACTTTTTTGAAGATAGCTGACAAATTATTGGGGAATTTCTATTCAAGCTCATTTTCAGGCAGAATATTCAAAACTGTACAAACTAGATTTCTTTAAAAATGCCACAGTTACTGATCTCTTGAAAATAGGTTTTGTTTTTGGTCTTTGAATAATTCTCGAAAATCAGTATTTATTAATTCAAGGATACCCAAATCATCGTTTAAAATATCATCATGATCAATAAAATGCATTTTTGAAGACTAGTCTTTGAGTTTTGAAGATAGCTCACAAATTATTGGGGAATTTCAGTTCAAGCTCAATTTCAGGCAGAATATTTGAAACTGTACAAACTGAATTTCTTAAAAAAGTCACAGTTGCTAATCTCTTGGGAATAGGTTTTGTTTTTGGTCTTTGAATAATTCTCGAAAATCAGTATTTATTAATTCAAGGATACCCAAATCATCGTTTTAAATATCATCATGACCATTAAAATGCATTTTTAAGACTAGTCTTTGAGTTTTGTAAGCCTACAGAAATCTATGGACTTTTTTGAAGATAGCTGACAAATTATTGGGGAATTTTTATTCAAGCTCATTTTCAGGCAGAATATTCAAAACTGTACAAACTAGATTTCTTTAAAAATGCCACAGTTACTAATCTCTTGAAAATAGGTTTTGTTTTTGGTCTTTGAATAATTCTCGAAAATCAGTATTTATTAATTCAAGGATACCCAAATCATCGTTTAAAATATCATCATGATCAATAAAATGCATTTTTGAAGACTAGTCTTTGAGTTTTGAAGATAGCTCACAAATTATTGGGGAATTTCTATTCAAGCTCATTTTCAGGCAGAATATTCAAAACTGTACAAACTAGATTTCTTTAAAAATGCCACTAATCTCTTGAAAATAGGTTTTGTTTTTGGTCTTTGAATAATTCTTCTCGAAAATCAGTATTTATTAATTCCAGGATACCCAAATCATCGTTTAAAATATCATCATGAATAATAAAATGCATTTTTGAAGACTATTAGTCTTAGACGATATTTAACCTCCAAAAATTGAACGTTTAAGTTAAACACAGTACATAAAATTTTAAACGGTGTTCAGGTACTTGTGTAATAGAAATCGTCAAATTAGACTAGGTTTCCGTCTAAACTAAGGTTAAACAGTATTGATGCAAGAGGCCATAAGTTATTTTTGTTTTATTGTTTTTTGCAAAATGTTGGAAACAAATTTTGTGTTTCAAGAGAAAAATGTAGTACTGTTTTCTTTAGCAAAGTCTTAATAATATTCGATAAAGACTGATTATTACATAAGGTTGTTTTTCTTTAATAAACTGCTATTATTATTACTAATAGTATTTGATAAAAACTGTTTTCTTCTCTCTCTTGGAGATACATTACCTCCCAACCTCCCATATCATACTCCACAAATACTAGATTCGATCGGACACTAGTTATCATATTGTCATTAGACAATTAATGATAAAGGACTTATTGGATAGTTACGATGTCTTGTGATCAGCAAAGTTTCTTGGGAAGAATGAAAGCAAATCTAACTGCAATGTAACAAAACAGACTGACTACGAGAGTGGATCAAATATAAGTCGGAATTTTACAAATACTTTTCTTAGCCACTCACGAGCGCTCTCACAGTGTAGTTCCTTGCAGTGTAGTGTATTAGGAGTGGGGATAACGCGTGGCGAGGTGTTCCACTCAGTCAATGCCTCAGTACAGCCAAAAGTGAGCAACCGGTTCCACCGTCCGTTGCGCAACCAGTTATAATAAAGTTTTTGATGAAGGAACGCCTTAAACCGTGCGAGATTGAAAGCTCAGTACGGGATGATAACTTGTCTAAAACTTAGGTATTAGTTCGGGCCGAAAAGGTTAAGAGTAGACGAGAACGTGTAGAAAATGTGAGTCATAATCGACGTCCAAAATCAAGTGTCTCTGGTGATCTTATTGAAAGTGACAGGCGGCTCACTATTCATGAAGTCGCTTTAGGCGTGGGTATGAGCTTTGGAAGTGCTCAAACAATCATCAGAAAACATCTTGGTTTCAACAAAATCTATGCTCGATGGGAGCCGAAGAGAAAAAAACATCAAACTGCAAATCAGAAGGAGACATCTGAATCGATTTCGGCGGGCGGGAGAGACTTTTTTTAATCATATCGTGACGTGTGATGAAAAATGGGCGCATCATTACAAATTCTAGAGCATCTTCCATACAGTCCAGATGTGTCACCCTGTGACTATCATTTGTTTGCGTCCATGAGAGATGCACTTGGAGGATTGCGATTTCAAGACGATCGAGATGTGGAAAACTTCATGCACTATTGGTTGTTCAGTCAACCTGCAAGTTTCTAGGAGCAAGAAATTTGTAAGCTACCAAATCGCTGGGGAAAATTTGTAGAGCGTGGAGATTACACAGAAAAATAATCAACAGCATTTTTGTATCGTTTTATGAATAAATATTAAAAACGAAATCCTGTTTATATTTGAATCACCCTCGTATTCGATTTCCTTTCGTTCCACCAATTACTGTTTTGCGTTATCTATGCTGTAATTCCCTATCAAATATAACTTTTTCAGTCTATCATTTTTCTTTGGTCTTAATATAGCATTAGATTTCCTTCCGATTTGAAACCACCCTTGTGAAGATCGTACACCATTGTCGAGGAAATCATATTTATTTTATACAAAACTGTAAAATGCTTAGAAATGTCTAGTTGATAAAAATATAGTACCTACATGTTGTTTGGTTTATAGAAACTTAAACCTAGGATGAAAAGAGAATACAACTATCTAAATGTAGTGGATGTTTATTGGCTTTTTATATACTTATGTACAATCTTTGAGCATCATTAGAACATGAAAATAGCTGAATGTACTGCGTTGCAGGAAATGAGATGACACTTCATGGGGTTACTCAGAACATTTCCTTTGCAGCTTCGTGTACCTCATGCGCACTCAACTAGTGAACAATCACATAGTACTGGAGACGAAAATTGTAACACTCTGCCATCAGCCCTCTTAGTGTCCTCACATTTTTTCATTCTCTACCTGCAAGTATAGATAGGGCAGAGATCAGTGTTACAATTTTCATCTTTAGAAATGCTTCACGACGTCTATTAGTCTTTTCACGCATTTGGTACATATTTCAAGTCATTGTTTTTGAAAGCAGCGAGTAGGAAGAATTCGATTGAAATATAAAATGATTTAAGCGGCAAACAAGACTGCCGCAATTTTCAAATTTCACATCCAGCTTATTGATTATTCACTGCAAAAATACGATATTTTCTCCAATGTTACTAAAGTCCACAACATAAAAATATTCAAAGATAAATCTCAACGTTCAAGCCCTTTCAAATTTCACGAAGTCCAAGTGTTGTTAGAAAATTTATTTGACATTTTAGGTACAGTATTAAATATTTTACGAAATTATTTAGTAACTCCTAAAAATTTGCACACCGCTTTGGAACTGTTAAATAGTGATATAAAAAAATATGAATTGGCTAAATGTTAATACATTCAAACATTAATAAAACAAAATGTATGTCTACAGGGAAAGATTTAGATCACAATACAATCAGGCTCATGATGAATGATGAAAAAATTGAAGTAATCGAAACATTAAAAAATATCTGGGATGTGGATAGAAACCAATGTTTCAAGAGCATTATGAATAAATTATTTCAAAAATATCAAAAAAGATAAATTACTCTATAAATTCCCATTGTACTCCAAAAAACTGGTGTAGAACACCATAATTCTATTGCCACCACCAAAGTAAATAGTCATTATCATAACTACGAAACTAGAGGCAGTAAAGATTTTCATCTGCAAAATTGTAATACTATCACAACTAGCAAATCTGTATTTCAAAACGGAGTATTTGATTCAATAAATTGAACAACGATAATAACAGTGTTCGAATTTAAAAATGTTCAAGTTGAAACGTAAAAATCCCTTTATGAATATCCAAAATGCAAGGTGATGTACTTTCAATAGACAAGAATGTAAAACAACAGAAAATCGATTCAAAAAATGTATAAATGATTAATTATTCAAAATCGACATTGTACCATTATCATTAATGCTAAATAAATCTTCAACAAACGCGAATTCTAAACATCACTAGTAGCAACTTGAATACTCGTATGGCATGCCAGAAGGCACCATTTTTGAGATCAGCTATTTTTTTACCGCGTCTAAACCGATCAGGAACTTGAAAAACGTCGAAAAACAAGTTTGGGATTTGAAATTAGTTCACTTAACCCCAAAAAGTTAGGTTTAGTTACGTTCTGAAATTTTTCAAATATGTTTGTCACTGCCACAGTAAAGATCTTGTGTAAAAATCTCGCTGAATGCCAATACATAAATCCTATCAATGTTCTCTTAAGAAAAATTTATATTTGCAACAAAATTTTATTGGAATCTCAACTCTCACCTAAAATTGGACAGCAAAATTACGACAAAATAAAATTTTACCGGATGTGAAATTTGAACTGTGCCTGATTGAAATTCTTTCACCCAATCCATACTATCAGTGCAGAAGAATTAATAACTCAGCTTTTTCAAGCAGAAGTTCTCACTAAATTTGTACTTCACAACATAAACCTCCCTCAAAACACTCTCATATTAGTATGAAAACCTTAAAAACATCAAATCTCCGATATTCATTGGCATGTATGATTGACAGTTCGAATTCAAGATGAAACTGTCAATGCTTAGTAAATTTCATGCTTCATATCAGACAAATATGTAGACATTTTGCTACAACTGAAAAACAAGCATAGTCAAAATGTAAATAATATTTTGTGTATACGCCATCGCCTCTCGTAGATTTCTAGTACAAAAGGTTAATAGTGATTTCTTGAATACGATGCGCCATGTAAGAAATCGCTTATACCAACCTTATAACTCAATAACTAGTAAACAAAAATCTACATCTTCAACAAAAAACTGTACCGCATTTTTCATGATACAATAAATAAATAAATTTAATTATAACAAACATTAGGTGACAAAGATATATTACAGTGTTGTCATTTCATCACCGGCAATGATTCACAATATTGCTATAGATGATTAAAAAGGTGCGCTTCTTGCAACATAACCTGCATTTTAGACAACTCTTGCAGGGGAATTATATTCTGCCCTTGAATCACCTTGATGCTAACAGTGAGAAAAAATACGTCTTTAACAGACAATAAACTACGGAACTTATGATCCACCTTGTGACGGTTTTGAGAACTAGTCAAATCATATTAGACGAAAATACCCTTGGGTTTCGAAATAATTGTAAAGTGGTTTTATTGCTGCAAGTTGTTCAAGGGGGTATTCAAAACATATACGCATAAAATGGGTACATCAATTTTTGAGGGAAAACTTTTTATTCGACAACAAAGAATGAGAAAACGTGTTTTTTAGGATTCATTCTTTGTTGTCAAATAAAAAGTTTTCCCACAAAAATTGGTGTACCCAGTTTATGCGTCCATGTTTTGAATACCCCCTTGAATGAATGAATCTTGAAATTAGAGGCATTCCGGCCACCATAAGGAGCCAGTGCATAGGCCGCTTAAGCGGGCCCTTATGCACCTCTACATTCCTTAGATCATAAGCCTCGCCCTTATAGCGAAGTTGAGAATCGCCTTGAGTCCCAGCTCCTTGACGTCCTGAGGGTCCAAAGTAATGGACCCCAGTATAGTCTGCCTATAGTAGCTCATAGCTTCACAGCGACACAAAACGTGCGCTGAGGTCTCTTCCTCTACCACGCAGAGTTCACACAAGGGATCCTCAGCCACCCCCATCACGTGCAGGTGGCGCCTTAACGTGTTATGGCCAGACAACAGTCCCACCAGCAACCTTAGGTTGGCTCTATCCAGAGAAGCAGAAACGTCCATCCTTAGCACTGGGCCCTTCAATGAGTTCCAGTGCCTGGCGGAGATGTCTGTAGATACTTCTTCATTTCTGAGAGTGTTGACTTGCTGGCTGATCCTGTCTTCGCCAGAGTGTCCGCCGTCTCATTGCCCCTTATCCCAGCGTACCCCGGTACCCACATTAACGATACCGGATGCCTCGCTGCGAGGCAATCCGGAGCCTCCCGCAGAGCGTCCTGCATAATTTCAGAGACTGTTCTACAAAAACGTCCCTTAACTGCTATGCTTAAGAATAACTCCTTGAACAACTTGCACCAATAAAACCACACTTTACAATTATTTCGGGAAAATTTGCTAATATAATTAGACGAAACATTCAGAAACAACATACAGAAACTCCAATGGTATCTAGATGCTTCAATATCTCCTATCACTGTGGTCGCAGTTGGTAGCACAAGACAAACGAAAATGGTGCTCAAGTTTCCAAAATATATCAAACATCTTACAATAAAAAAAATAGCACAGGCCAGGACGTGTCCTGCATAATTTTGTAAATTTGAAAGGTTATGTTACCAGAATCAACAGCGAAAAATTTGTGCCTAGACACATGAGCACTTTGCGAACTTAATTTACAATTTTATCTCTTGAATTCACTGTCAGTCAAGAACAACTACCTGTAGTTCATCCATTTTGGTTTTCAACTGCCGCCAGGGCTTTCGTGCTGCTCTCCTTAATTCTGCTAATGTTACTTGTTTGCGAATTTTCCTGAAATAAATACGAATTTAATTAGAATCGTCTAGCAACAGCAGACCGAATGCTTTCAAGAAGAAACTACACATAACAAGAGGGCATTTGAGACTATTGACAGAGACAAATTGTTAACGAAATTGCATTACTATGAATTTAACGGTTAAGTATTCAACATACAAAGTATGTCGCAAAGTAAACTCGGTAAAACATTCACCGAAACGCATCAGATGTTGCTGCAAGTGGTTTACACGGATCAAAGAGGGTCGTGAGTCGCAACAACATAATCTCCTTTGAGCTCTATACACTTTTCTCAGCGATGTTCAATAAGTTCGATACCCTTTTTATAATAAGAACTGTCTTGCTCCTCAAAATAGCCATTAACTGCCGACATCACTTCTTGATCGTTGGAAAATCTTTGACCACTGAGCCATTTTTTTTTTTAAGTTAGGAAACAGAAAATAATCCGAGGAGGTTAAATCTGGTGAATAGGGTGCAAAAGGCAGCAATTCAAACTTTAATTCGTTAATTTTGGCCATTGCAATAACGGATTTGTGAGCTGGTGCATTGTCTTGATGAAACAACACTTTCTTCTTAACCAAATGCGGCCGTTTTTGCTTGATTTCATCGCTCAAACGTTGCAATAAGTTCGCATAATACTCGCCGTTGATAGTTTTACCTGTTTCAATATAGTCAAATTATCCCACGCGCATCCCAAAAAACCGACGTCATAACCTTGCCTGCAAATGAAACGGTCTTCGCCTTCTTTGGAGCCGGTTGTTCCTTTTGAGTCCATTGTTTTGATTATTCTTTTAACTCGGGTGTGAAGTGATGGACCCACGTTTCATCCATGGTTATGAAACGACGCAAAAATTCTGCTTTGTTGCTGTGGAACTTCGCTAAACACTCAATTGAAACATCTTCACGACACTGTTTTTGCTCGATTGTTTGCAATCGCGGCACCCATCTTGCACACAGCTTTCTCATGTCCAAATTTTCAGATAATATGCGATGAACCGCACTTTTTGAAATGCCTACTATGTCTGCTAGCTCGCGCACTTTCAGTCGACGATCATTCAGTACCGCTTTGTGAATTTTCTTCACCATTTCTGGAGTCGTCACCACACTCTGCTACCCAATATTTTACTGTTGTAAACGAAAGAGACTCACCCAGAGTAGAATCCAGTTCAGCTTTCATATTGGTTGGGCTGAGGCCTTTGAAATAAAAGTATTGTACCACAGAACGATGACCAATTTTCTCCATTTTCACAAATTCACTGAAAACGTTCAGTATTGATGGCTGCCAAACAAATACTAAACAATGTGGCGTCTTCAAACTTGACACATATGCTTTATAGGTTGCATACTTTCTAATACAATGATATTTTTCAAACAACTATCGCCATCTCTAGGTCAGGCCGGGTACTTCTGGGACCACCCTCGTATCTCTAAACATTCGATCCATCGCATTTTGACCAAGAATTTGGACATGAGAAAGATGTGTTCACGGTTTGTTCTGCACAATCTCACGGATGAGCAAAAATTGCTTCGAATTCAACATTCGAGAGCCATCATTAAAGAGGTCAAAATAAATTTCTGTAGATTGTGGCTTGTGACGAAACGTGGTGTTTTCAATACGATCACGAAACCAAGCGTCAAAGTGCAGACTGAAAGCACCCAAGCGAACCAAATCCGAAAAAAAGTCCAAAGTGAGAACAATGTTGATTTATTTCTAAGATTCGAAGGGAATTATTCACAAAGATCGGCCAGAATACCGCGAAGAAGGAAGCTGGAACTTGTTGCACGATAACGCACCATCTCTCCGATCGACGCTTGTGTTGGATTTTTGACAAAAAATGGCATTGTAAACATCGACCACTCCCCACACTCTCCAGTTTATCCGAATCGTTGGATTGACCGCGGTGGGCCCCAAGAATGGCCACCAATTTCCCCAGACCTCAACAGTTTAGATTTATTTTTGTTGGGCACTAGTGCACACAAGTACCATTAACACTGTAGAGGAAATAAGAGAAAGAATAGTTGCAGCGTGTGATAGAATAAAAAACACTCCAGGGATATTTCAACGAGTGCGCAATTCCATGAGAAGGAGGGCGGAAGCATGCATTCTAAGTGAAGGGGGCCATTTTCAACATTTTTTGTAATCATTTCGTTGGTTTTAACGCTATGTTTATATTGTCAGTTGTTGTTGTTCATTACCTCTAATGTGTTTAATTTTTCCAATTAAATTAATAATAATTTTGCAAGTTAGACAATAGAACGGTTTTTATTTTTTTACTCAAAAATCGAATAAAACAAATTGTTTTAAATTGAACGGGGAATTCAAAAATAATTTTTATTTGGAAAAAAAAAGCATTGGCGTACCATTTTTTTCTTAAAAAATATCGAAGTCAATACCCGTACGCACGCCACTGTTAAACCTTTTCATTCCGATGATGCCTTTTGACCACAATGCACACCACACAGTCACTTTTTGAGGATGCATCGGCTGCTCTTGATACTCACGGGGATTTTCGTTCGCCCAGATGCGGCAGTTTTGCTTGTTTACCGTCCCATTCAAAGTGAAATGCGCTTCGTCGCTGAACATGATTTTTGATGAAAAATTGGCATCAATTTGGCGGTGTTCAAGGAGCCAATCTGAGAACGTTCGGCGCGAAAAATGGTCGGCCCGACGCAGCTCTTGCGTCAATTGGATCTTGTAGGCGTGTACATTCAAATCCTTGTGGAGAATGCGGAGCAAACTGGTTCTCTAAATGCCCAATTCTTGGGATCGACGTGTTGTTGATTGTTTCGGATCGTCTCTCACACTCTCCTTCACAACAGCAATATTTTCCGGTGTGCGAACGCTCCTTGGCCGGCCAGAGCCTGGCAGATTTGCCACAGAACCTGTTGCCTCGAATTTACGCACCAGACGACCGATGGTTGTTTTGGGCTGTTGTTGCGACCGAAATGTTCACGAAGCGCGCGAAACGTGTTTTTTATTTTTGCACCATTTTTGTAGTGCTCTTAAATAAATTTAATGCGGTCTTCAATCGAATACGACTCCATAGCGATCAATGGTAAACATTCAACTAACAAAATGACATGTCGGTGACAGAAAACAAACATGGCGTCGATGTCAAATTGACGTTTACTTTCCTGCGTCCCTATTGTACAACCCATTATATGAAATTTGTAATTTTTTCTGTTTTTAAAAGGGTCAAGTGGAAGAATAGCCGACGGCTAAACTTCGCCCTAATAGAGACCAGTTATTATTATTATTACTTTCGTTGTCCCCACTATTTCGGGATGTATAACACGGAATAAAAAGCTAGTGCATGAGGGGGCAGGGCATTAAAAAAATGTGCATGACAATCTAGAGCAGTGGTATTGCCAGGTGTTGGGCGACGCCGAGTTACTCCGAGTAATACAAATGAGGCACTGGAACACGGCTCAGATAGACAATTACAATTTGTGGAATATGAAGGGCACCGCTCTGATATTTTCTCGCCAACATCTGGGATTCCCCAACGATCGAATTTAGGACCTCAAAATTTTTCATAACATAAGCTCAAATTCGGACTGCCAAATTTTACAAGGCAACATTGACCTTGTCTTGGATTGGTGTAATGCTAATCATTTTGAAGTTAATGTAGATAAATGCTTCATATTAACGTACACCAGAAAGAAAGAACCAATAACATGGTCCTACAAAATAAGCGAGAATGAGTTGAATAGGTGCTATCAAATTAAAGATATCAGTGTTCTCTTTGATAGCAATTTGTCATTTTGTGATCATATAAATGATATCACAACATCAGCCAACCGAATGTTGGGCTTCATCATCCGAAACAGTAGACAATTTTCCAATTTACATGTTTTGAAACTTCTGTATTCTTCGTACGTGCGATCTAAATTGGAAAGTTATTCTTTAATTTGGTATCCCATCTATTCGGTTCATATAAGCCGTATTGAGCGAATACAAAGAAAGTTTTTGAAATTTCTGCATTTCAAGTGGACAGGCGAATAATAATAATAATAATATTTATTCGCCAAAATACAAAAAATGGGCAAATAAATATGAAAAAACCACAGAAGGCATCGCCTGTGTGTGGTTTATATCATAATAACTAACAATCAATCATATATGTGTATAACAATTATTGATAATCTAAAAGGTATTAATGTAATTGGAATTTTGTAGTTTTAGTTTTCTATATAATTATGTATAGTCATTCGCTGCACATTACTAACCCAGACTTTCAATTTTCTTCTAAATTTTTTTCCAAAATTAAGTATCTTTATTTCGTTTGGTACTACATTATATAATTTAGCTGCTAAGAATTTAAATGATTTTTTGAATAATGTTTTGTGTGGTCTTTGGATATTAGATGAGCCTATTCGAAATCGTGTGTTATGCTCGTGTTTATAGGATTTTTTCTTTTTATTACAATACTTATGGTATAAGGTGGTGGCATGTAAGAAATAAAGTTGTCTTGTATCAAGTATCCCTGTTTCTTGATATAAGTTGTTCGTTGGATATAATCTTGGCTTATGGAAAATGGCTTGCAAAACAGTTTTTTGTGCTATATTCAGGTCAGAAATATATGTCTTGCAGGCGGCACCCCAGGCTGTGATGCCGTATATTATATGGGTTTCAACTAAGGCATGGTATAGGATTCGCAGATAACTTTCTGTAAGAATGTTAGCAAGCATTTTGAGTTTATAGGCAACATTTCTAATTTTTTTGATAACATATTTAATATGGTTATCCCACCTTAGATGTGAGTCTATATTCCAAGATATTTCAAAGTGTAAACTCTATCGATTTTGGTCTTTTGGCCATGATAATTAACGGAAATTTGTTCGAAGGTAGGTAAAAATTTTGAATAGGATGTAAATGCAATAAATTTTGTTTTTTTTTGAAGTTAACTGTTAAAATTTTAGTATCAAACCAGTCAATGATCCTTATAAAATCCTGTTCAGCTATTTGCTTCAGTGTGCTCCAGTCATCAGCTTTATATAATACGAGGGTATCATCTGCAAAACATATAGTCTTTCCAGAACTGTTAATTTTGAATAAGTCATTTAAGTAGAGACTAAATTAATAATAGTGGGCCTAGTACTGTTCCTTGAGGCACACCACACTTGATGTACATTTTTTTACTGTAAGTGTTAGTGATTTTGACAGTCTGTGCCCGACTTGAAAGGTAATTTTTTAAAAGGATTTGTGACGCTCCCCTAAATCCCAATCTTTCCATAACTTTCAGAAGCTCGACATGGTTAACCGTATCAAAGGCATTTTTTAGATCAACAAAGATACCAATAGTAGGTATCTTTTTGTTGACATTAGAGTTAATTTCATCCATTGCAGCCAAAATTGCATCTGTAGTAGATTTTCCTTTTCTAAATCCATATTGGTCAGAACATATAATTTTGTTTTAGTCCAAAAATTGTAATATCCTTTTTTGTAGTAATTTTTCGAAAATTTTGGCTATATTCGATAGTACTGATATGGGTCTATAATTTGATGTTTCCATTCTGTCACCGCTTTTATAAACAGGAGTAATAACAGTTGTTTTAAATGCTTCACGACAAATTCCAGATTGGAAACACCAATTAATGACGTAAGAAAGTGGTTCGGCTAAGTCGTAGGCTATTATTTTTAAATGGTCAGCTTTGATACCATCTACACCAGGACTTTTTTTGGTTTTAAGTGATAGGACAGCTTCTTGTACTTCAATTGGACTAACGCTTTCTAAAAAGAATGAATTGGGAAGTTGGGTTTTTGTGAACTTTTCGTTCGAAACCATTTTTTTAATACTGGATGCTAAATTTTCTCCAACATTAGTGAAAAAATTTAAGAATGCATCGGACATTTGTCGTTTATCTGTTAATATTGTTCCATCACGATTCTTAATTTCATCAATATTTGGCTTTTCTTGAACGTCTTTGTTAGTTAAGTGATCGACAACTGACCACAGTTTTCTTGGATCAGATTTGGCATCTTGTAATTTTTTTAGATAGAATTGGCGTTTTGCTTCTCTAACTAGATTGATAAAAATATTTTTATATTCTTTATATTTATGGGAGGTATCTGCACATGGCGATGCTTTCATTATTTTGTATAGTTCCTCTTTTTTGTTGGCAGACTCTATCAAACCTTTAGTTATCCAGGGATTCCGGCTTCTGTTAAAATGTTTAATTTTAACTCTGTTTGTACTACATTCAATTAAATATTTTATGCGTTCAATATCCGGAGAGAGGATGTGATTATTCTGTACTCATGAATACATTTGACTATATGTCGCTAAATAGTAGGAGAGTTATAAGTAGTTTAAATTTTCTTTATGATGTTTTGCACAAAGACTTTAAACAACGTTATCTGGTCATTTCCCATGGCATGTAATGACCTTTTTGCGGTTAGAGTTATTCTTTTTTTTAATATTTTGGCTTTTTGATCTAGATGTATTATTAATTTGGTCGTGTTTTTTTTATATACTAGGATTATGTGTTGCTCTTGTTTTCTTTTTGAACTATTTCCTGTAATTGGGTGATTGTACCTGTTGGAAATAAAGATCCATCTATCTATCTATCAAAAAAGCATACTCACTTATTCCCCTCCGTCGCCCTAAAATAGACGTCGTCTGGGGCGTCCATCCAACTGATGACCTGTTTCCTGCCAGCTGCCGTCCTGGTGACGTGCGCTATCTTAGGCTTGCCGTTGATTTGCGCCACGTGTCTAGGCATGGGCTGGATGGCGCCAGGCGGCGGCTGTCCCGCAGTGCCGCCGCCCCCGGCAGCCGCTGCCGCTGCGGCCGCCATCAGAATCTGGTACTGCTCGGGCCGAGGAGGTACGGAGGGTATTGATGGCGGCAGATGGGGAGATACCACTGTAACAGAATGACATCATTTACCAATAGCCTTGAATGCGAAGCAATTCGGACTGTAATTTTGTTGAGAGAAGTAATAAATTATTAACCTTATACAATTTTAGCGAATAAATTGAAAAAGAAAAACCACAAAAGGATAGTGCCTTGTGCGTGGTTTTGAATAAGATAAAAGCCCTTAAAAAATAGTAACATGACATGCTTTAGTATGTCTGTGTATACAAACTTATCCATAATGCCATCTATTCTATGTAAAGGTCCCATCCCAAACCCCGAAAAGCACCCAAAACCAGAAAAGACCCGCCTCCATGTTTAACAGTGAGAAAAGTTTACTTAGGGTTCAATCTTTGTCCACTAGGACGTCTAACGTAATGAACATCATCTGATCCAAACCTATTGAACTTGGATTCGTCACTGAAACATACCCTCTTCCAGTCACAGATGCTCCAATCAAGATGCAACCGTGCAAATTGTAATCGGTCCTTACGGTTTTTCCTCGAGATTAGCGGCTTCTTACTCGGGCGACGTGCAAATAACTTCAAATCATTTAGACTTCTACTTATAGTTTTCGCAGAAACACTGGCAATTCCTTTTGTCTCAATTTCGGCTTTTATTTGCCTTGGGGTTTTAAACGGATCTTTGGATGAAATTACTTTTATTAATCTAACTGATCTAGCAGTTTTCTAGGCCGACCCTTGTCTTAGAGGCTTCCAAGATACCTTTTTGTTTATATTTGTTCAATATTGCCCAAACTGCTTGACGCTTCAGCTTCAAATTTTTGGTAATGTCGACTTGACGTTGACCATCTTTCTATAACTCAATGATCACATCGAAAAAAATTTCTGGACCACGCGGCATGGTCTTAAAATCACTCAACTTATTCCACAATACTTGATGAACACAAACTAATCCTCTTCTGACACGAAACTGTACTAAACTAATGTTGAAAAGAATTTGTCTACGTATTTTTGTCCCTCATAAAAAAGTGCTTATATTCAGACTTGTGTTCATTGCAGATAATGTAAAAACAAGGAATTTAGTTTTTCTACTAATAACGCATTTGTTTATGGAGCAATGAAGTATGAATTCGTTTTCTAAAGGTATTTAGGTAAATATTCATATTTGTCTATATACTTTTGTCCATTACTGTATATATACCTCAAACGTATTTTGCATGCAAGTCCAGCCCTGTACACGAAATCTTTCTAGAAGGTTCACAAGTCTGGTTAATGTGACTCGACACGATGGCCATTAAGTCTGTTTATGTTATACACTCTATTCCTCCTCTGGGCACTAACATAGTTCCCAGGATACATTTTTATTTACATGCAGGCGAGTATAAAGCTCGCATCTCAGATCAAGTAGTGCGCGTCGTGACATAATTACAGTGTTTCTGAGCTATTATATTCATGATCATGAATGACTTAAGCCATGTTTATAAAGATGCTGTGCTGTTTTCCTTAATATTTTAATATACTAATTTATTGCTATTGAATATCCGTAGGTGGGACGCCTCCAGTATCTGGGGGTTGTTATGTGACTTTTAGAGCCGGATTGCTGGGTTTAGGTAGTTACGTTAATTAATGTCCGAGCGCCTGGGGATTTTGACACGGTGGCCTTTGGCCGACGTGACATTCTAGGTCTAAATGACTGCTTGACTATATTCTCTTGGCAACCGCTGGAGTCTGAAAGGATCGCATTATAGGATGTGTGTAGGGATTATTTTTTTTATACTCCAGCTACTACGAATACATACAGGGGAAAGGGGGGGGGGACGGCACACAGACCCTGGCGAGGGAACACGTGTGCATGCAGCATGCACACATTCTGGCCCCGCCTAGGAGATCCGCCGGGTAATACTTCCGCGTTCGATAGTCAGAGACCGTCTACCACATACGGACAATCACAGCATCCATAGACAAGAGAAAAATTTCTCGCAGCGCACGGCGACTGATCAGGAGACGAATCGTCTACCACTGCGGCCACCGCTGTTGCCTTGAGGCGTTAGTTTAAAGTAGTCATGTTGGTCGGTTATCTCTGGTTCAGGTGTAGCGATGTGGCTTTGGGATATTGACACGGCAACGTGATATCTTGGGTCCTGGACTGCTTTTCGTAACAATCGTTAAGCTCTACATGTCTGTCCAGACATCCAGCGACCAAAGACGCAGACTGTGTGACCACTCCTAGTCTGTCTGTGTGACGAATCCTTACTAGTAGTTGGGGTAACTAATGTAATGGTAACTAATAGATTTGTACATGTCATTCATGAGTCGGTTGAATATGGGAGGTGCTCAAATAATTTTTTTAAACGATAGGTGTTGAACCCGACAATCCAATCATATCGCCCTTATCGCTTGCCAAAGGAGGATTACTCGTTGTCGTTCTGTCACCAAGTAAGTGGCTTTTATATTATCTTGAAATTATTGTCTCTGTCATATTGTTTACGTATTGCCCCTGTAATAAAATAAAAAAAGGTAAAGGGTGGTACTTCGCAACCGGTTAAGGCGGGTTTGTTGTTCTCACGCTTATCATCTTATATCATCATTGCTCGTATCGTATAAGAATACCAAAGGCCTCAAAGAAGTCTGGCAGAATCAGAGCAGTTGCCAGTTGATCGTCCACATTTTTGAGGATATCATCCGTAATGTTTAATAAGGCAGTTGTCGTATGACCGATACGGAAACCAAATTGGTTAAAAACTAATATTACCTGTAGGCGATGCTCCGGGTACCACACCGGGTATGGGCGCTACAGTCGGAATGGTGGATGGATGCGCGGTTAAATGGCTCATGTGATGAGGTGGCGCCACACCGATGGACGCGGGCAGGTGTTGAGTTGGTGCTGGTTCCTTGGTAAGTCGTCTTACGGCTGGCGGCGCCGTCAATGATACACCTGGAAGATTACACAGGGTCAACAACACGGGTCAAGTCACAACGACGTGCTTAGGAAAAAATCAGTTAACAATCTAGTTATCTTGGTCAGCGAATTTAGGAACAACTGATACATTTTTTCCAATGTGCTACGGAAAGTTAATGTATAGGAATATGGGATCATAGTTCACTTTTGTCCTGTCACCATTGAACAAACTAGTAATATAGCTATAGCAGAACCGCACGGGTATCACGTATCTTGAAAAGTGACATTATGCCGATTTTTTTGACATGATGTAGGTGTTTCTACAAGATATTAACTTAGCACTTAGTTGTACGTGTTGCCTAAACGTCATGAGGCTTGTTGTCAATCTTTGGCTCTGATGTGATGTAAAATCTGCTTCTGAGATGGCATTACTGGAGGTCTAAGCTGTAAATTGTATGTGTTGATGATAATTACATTGGGTTCTTGTCTTAAATACACTTAATTGACATTCAAAACTAGTTGCGCATCCACTTTTTCTTATCCATTCTGGAAATTAGATATACAAATTTGCTGAATTTCAAAAATGAGAGAGATAAGAAATAATTATATTCACTGTACACTGTCGAATTACAAGTCATATACATGCTAACAGTAATTCACACAACGCGGACGCGGTGATGATTTTCCGTAATTCTCCTCAGTTTTTCGTAACTTATAACTTTGAACATAACCTCTCTTAATAAAGCACAACATAAAAATAACCCGTCGGGCACAGCCAATAGATATACTTCATTGGCAGCATATTCAGTAACGATTTTCTCACACAGCAAACATCACTGATTTTTTAAACATGCAGACCAATACACAAAACTACAGACTTGGACCACTCGGCCTCACAAAACTATGCAACCAATAAAGCGTGTAGTTTAGTTGAGCGATTCCTCCATAGATGGACGTTCACAACGATCCTAGTGAGCAAACATGGAACGACTGTTTGCGCCCTAAAAACTACCTAGTTTGCAAGATGACATCTTATAGGTTTTTTTGACGTTTTATAGGTTTTTTACATGTTACCCGTGCCCAGCGCCTCTAGCGGCCACATCGGTGACCGGCAGGTTATCACGTAAAAAAACTGAAAAATGTCAACTTGCTGACAGAATAGTTCCAAGTGTACAAATAGTTTATTCCGCGTTTGCTCTGAGCGCTGTGAGCGTCATCAAAAGCGTCATCTATGGAGGAATGACTCAATGACATGCTACAAGTCAGTTCGGCAGCATGCTTTGTTGGTTGTAGAATGCTGGGATAGTCTGTAGAGTGTATCTCTGAGAAGATGTGACAGAACGACAATTGGAGTAGGAGAGTAGCAAGCGCGTATTTGGATGATTGTGTGTATTGGTCTGCATATGGTATTTGCTATGTGAGAAAATTATTACTGAATATGGTGCCCATGGAGTATATCTATTTGATGTGCCAGAAGAGTTATTTGTGTTGTCATTTCTGGAGAGAGGTTATGCTCAAACTTATAAATAACAAATTTCCCCGTTTTTTTGCGTTTTCAACTAGCATTACAGGAAATTACCACCGCGCCCGCGTAAGCGTGTAATTAGGCACTATACAGAAAAATTAAGAATGGCATACAATACATTTTCGCAGTGCCTTACATCTAGGTGCTCTTGTCTATTATCTTTTCTACCTGACATCCCAAAATATAATTCCATAAAATTATATATATAATAACTGTTATTATTTACATCTCATCTTGAATTTGTATTCAGTTTATATAATATAAAAAAACAATGTCGCAATGTGATACGTAATAACCCTGCCGGCTGGCAATGTGAACTGGGATACAGTTCCAACATTCAGCTTGATGTTATCACTTTCGCGATGAATGGCAACATTGGTTAGTGTGAGTCCAGTTCAACAGCATTAAGAAAAAACAAAACCAAACAAAAAAATATTCACATTGCAATGATATAAGCTTCATCATTAAAATCTGTCATATACGATGATAAATTGAAAAATCGACCTGGTGATAGTGTACTTTGATACAAACTGATTATGGAACAGACAAATGAAAAACTAACTATGAACTGTGAATAATTTTTGTGAACAGCACCAATGAAAATAACAAAATCGCTTGTCTTATTGAAGCAAAAAACGATTCATAAAATGATAAAGGTAATACAGCAGGCGCTCGATAACGTAAACACGGGATAATGAAAACTTGCGCTAATGTAAACACAAACTTCGTTCTATAGGATCAAACGGAACGCGCGATAACGTAAACAATGTGTACGCTCGATAACGTAAACAACTCTCGGCGCACGGAAACAGCGCGACGGTAAAATGCTGAAGCCTCGATGATTTATGTCGGGCGTCGGGGAGTCCCCGATTTATGATGTAGAATGTAGGGGATTCACCTCTGCGATAAAATACGACAAACTCGGTCAGTCGTATGATCATTTAGGATATGTTTATACGTACGTATGTATTTCATTTTTGAACTTAAGTGAATACATTGCACGCGTTAATATATTTTACGACTATGGCATCCACATCCTATAAAAGAAAGTGTTTAAAGTTGAGTGAGAAAGTGAAAATCATAGACGAAGTTGCACTAGTTGCGGGAGTGACACAGTTAGCAAAAAAATATGGAGTATCGAAAGCAACAATCTGTAAGATTAAGCGTATGAAAACTCAAATTTTACAAAGAACGTGCAATACATTTGGAGGTCCGGGAAAAAGAAAAACTTAAAAAAATGCGAAGGCACCTAAAATGGAAAATTCCCTGTATAAGTGGTTTTTAAAACAACGGGAAAATCATGTCCCAGTTAGTGGCGAAGTACTTAAACAGGAAGCGAGACTGTTAAATGAAAAACTGGAAGACTCTGAAAATTTCGTAGCTAGTGATGGCTGGCTACAACGATTCAAAACAAGATTTGGAATTCGACTGCTGTCTATTTCTGGTGAAAAATTATCAGCACAACCACAATTAGTGCAACCATTCAAAGAAAAATTGATGAAAACAATTACCGAGCTAGATTTAAGAATGGAACAAATTTACAACGCAGATGAAAGTGGCCTTTATTGGAAAATGTTACCAGAGAAAACCTATGCTGCATCATTTGAAAAATCTGCCAAGGGAAGAAAGCCGGAGAAACAACGAATAACGCTTCTAGCCTGCACTAATGCTAATGCTTCACACAAAATAAAGCCACTGGTAATTGGGAAAGCAAAAAATCCGCGCTCATTTAAAAATGCTAATATCCCTGTTGATTATGACTGTTCAAAAACCGCTTGGATGACTAGCAGTATATTCCTGAAATGGTTCCACAGGTGCTTTGTCTCTCAGGTATGACAATCAATTATCACAAATGCTCTATTCATAATTTGAAGATGTGTTTTCAATTTGTAGGTAAAAGGTTTCCTAAAACAACAGAAGCTTCCAATAAAAGCGTTGTTACTATTGGATAATGCACCAAGTCATCCTCCCGAGCAACAACTGAGGAGCAGGGATGGGTCAATTTTCGTCATGTACATGCCGCCCAACGTAACACCGTTAATTCAACCGATGGACCAGAATATAATAAGACTAACCAAACTATACTATAGGAAGTTTCTACTTTTCTCTGTCTTACCAAAGAATCCTGAAAACTTATCTGAGGCTTTAAAAAAAGTAACATTACGAGAAGCTGTTTTAGATTTACATATGGCCTGGAATGAACTTAACCAGCAAACTATTCAAAAATGTTGGAACAATCTCTTTTGTACCAATAATGAAGATGATGAAGAAGACGATGTCCCCTTAAGCGTAATTAGAGAACGTTTGCGATCCAATAATGATAATGTTATTAGTGTGTCATTGGATGTTGTTGATTTATTGAAAACAGTGAATCCCAACATTGTTTGTACGCATGCTGATATTAATTTATGGAACGAAGATAAGCAGACGAATGATGCTGATAAGGAGGAGGATATGGACAGTGAGGATGATGAGAACGATCCCATTGAAGTCAGAAGTGTAGTGACTGACGCGCAAGCTATACAAGTTTTTAACCAAGCTTTAGATTGGACTGAAAGAAAAGAAGTTTCATACATGGATATTTTAGTTCTTCGTAAATTACGGGCGCAGGCATTGGAAGACAATGCTAAGCGCAAATTTACGCAGACAAAAATTGTTAATTATTTTTCTTCTAATTAAAAAAATACTTATCGCTGTTAGAATATTTGTTTATTTTGATATAAATATATTAAATTAAAAATATATTAAACGTTTATTTTAATAAATCAAATATTATATAAATCACGTTCGCTAATGTAAACATTTCGATAATGTGAACCACACTTGGATTAAATTAGTTTACATTATCGAGCGTCTGCTGTACTTTCAACTAAAGATTATCATACTAACGGGAGACTAGTCTATTCTGACCAGCCAGAAGGATAAATCCGATAGAATAACTGAAGCGATAAACAAAAATAAGATGACACTTCGTAACCAGTTGTTTAAAAACTTTTCAAAAACACTATCATGTCTACGCATTGCTGGACATTTTTCAATTAATCCTGGTATGTGACATATTCTACCAACTATGTTTACTTACCATCATCCCAATCCAGATCAGAGTAGAAGCCAGCAGGACAAAAAAAGATTAATTAAATGACATCATATGCTTATTGCAATACACTCAGTACTAAACGGCAGAAAATACATCAAATCTTCTTATAAGACATTTTCATTACAAAACTTTGTAGCATGACGATACTGTGTCTTAGTTCCAACTATTTAAATCTCTTCACAAAATGTCTGCAATCATGATACTTAAGTTGATCTTTGAAATGAATATACCGCTTATAAAATTGCGTTACTTGTATAACGAGGAGAAAATCACAATTTACAATAATAAAATGTAGGTTAGTTCAGTGTTGTTGAGTGAATTGGATTGGCGCGACTGTTATTTGAATTATACAGGGTGAAAACGTTATGGTAGTCATGGTTCCCCTATTTACTTTCAAATTCAAAGTTTGACGGAAAGTCGGCAGGGGTTATCATTCCTTGAGCGCAAAAATATTTATTTTTTGAGTTGTTAGAGTCCAATGGAACAACATTAGAGAATATGCGTATCTTAATTCGAACAACAATATGTTTGCCCTCATAGGCTGGGACACCCTACTGTACATATTACAATACCATTTATATATTCGTTAATTTTTAAATGTTATTGTTTATTCATGTAGGTATACAGGGTGTAAACGTTATGGTAGTCAAAAAGTTCATATGACCCATGGTCCAAAAGTCAATAGATTTTTGTCTAAATGGCTTTATAGTTTACAACTTTAAGTGCTTTATATCGACCACAATCACCACAATCTTACTAAGTTTTATAATCTAATACGTTTTTAAATTGGGTAATTAACAAATAAATGGCATTAAGTTTTTCTAAGCCAAAATTTGTAGTCAGTAAGTAATTAAGTTTCATTGAATTAAATATTTAAAACACACATGACAACAGCGCGTCGGCCTTTCATCACTCTTATCGAACCGGCAATCGATCGCAAACGGTAACAGTGGTTAGTTATCGGGCATCGGGACTGTTGTTTTGTTTTTGTTCGCGTACGTCGTCATGTTTATTTACAATGTTCTCGAATCAAGAGTTCGGCGACATGTTGTTAGTTAACGGTGAAGCTCGTCAGAATTCAAACCTTGCAGCTCAAATTTATACACTCAGACAGAAGGACATTTGTGCAAGTGTACCAAAGACTTCGAGATACAGGAAGTGTTCAGCCCACAAATATTCGCACTCGTGAAAGACGGGTCACTGTAGAGCAGGAGGACCAAATTTTAAATATCGTGGTAATCAATGCAGATATCAGCACTCGGGAATTAGGCTGCCGCGGAAGACTATCGCATACCATAGTCCATAGAATCCTACGGGAAAATTTGCTATATCCCTACCATGTAGAATGAGTGCAGGTCTTGTTACCAGAAGACTATCCTCGCAGGTTAACATTCTGTCAGTGGTTTTTGCACAAAAACATTGAAAATCTGGATTTTTTTAAAAACATTCTAGCGACGGACGAATGTACTTTTACGCGAGACAGGATATTAAATTTCCATAATACACGTGGGCCCAATAAAATCCTCATACCATTCGTGAAGGTCATTTCCAACAATGTTTTAAAATAAATATTTGGGCGGGTATTCTTGACGATCAGGTAAGTGGCCCTTTCGAGTTACCCCCAAAGTTGTCAGGAGAAGGATACCTTAGCTTACTAGCCAATAACCTACCAGAACTTTTGGAACATACCTTACACAACATGCCATTACAACGCAGACAGAATTTTTGGTTTCTTCATGACGGGGCACCTCCACACATTTTTAGAGGCGTCATTCAATATTTGAATGAACATTATTCAAATCGCTGGATCGGTCGAAATGCTCCTGCTCCTCGAAAATGGCCAGCAAGATCTCCTCACCTCAATTCGATGGATTTCTGGTATTGGGAAGAACTTAAAGTTATGGTTTATGGGGCTGGTCCAATAACAACTGAAGCACAACTTCGCGAAAAAAAATTTGCGGTTGAAATAATAAATGGACAACTTCGAGGACCTAGAGTGAGAAGAAACTGGATTCGTCCTAATGAAGCTTGTGTGGAAAGTGGAGGACGACATTTTGAACACCTTCTTTTTGAATACAAAAAAAGTGCAGTGTGGGTTTTAAAAAGAAAAACAATGAATGTGTCAAAATTGTGTTCTCTATTTATAAGTGGATTTTTTTTAATACGTTCAATAAATTTTCACACACCAGGTGAAGCGCTGAGACAGTTAGTGGTAAGTCCGTTTTTTTAATTGTTTGCATTTTACGAGTACATTATCAAATAATGAAATAATACCTAAGAGCCAAAATAACAAACACCATCGTTATTTACACTGCGTCTCGTCGTAATTTGCGTCGGGCATTGTGGCGTTGTCAGATTTTATTTTACTTTCTCTAAAAGAATCCCGTTTTGACCCCCATGTTATATGAAACTTTTTGCTCCTTTTAACCCCCTCTATCACCCATTTGAATAATTACTATCATAACGTTTACACCCTGTATTATTTTTCATTCAAATATTATACTGATACAACATACCATTCATTTGTGAGGTAGTTGCTGGGAATAACTTTAAGTCATAAACAAAAACACCTTTGGACTATTCATTATATATATATTCAATTCATATATTCATCTTTGCATACGATCGTAATGCCTTGAAGTTGCGTATTTAGGTGACTGACAAGATGCCGCTTAGAAAGTTTTGAAATAGAAAGTACTTTCGGAGAGAGACGGAAACCCCCAATTTTCATAAAATCGTTTTAATTTTTTCCTGACATTATTTGTAGTTGGATTTCAAAATAAATTTCACGTTGATATTGAAACTTCTTTTTCTCCTCTACAAGATGGTATATTTATCGATTTTCTAGGAACAATTTTTTCATTTCAAGTTTTTCTGTCAGAATTTCGTAGAAGATTGTTTTGGGGATTGACAGTTCCTCAGCTATCATTCTAACTGTCAATCGACGGTCTTTAAGAACACAGACCCGAATTCGTTTAACATTTCTCTCAGAGTTCGATGTGGAGGTGCGTCCTGAGCGTTGGTCATCTTTCACCTCACACTCAAAAATCTCACGACCATTCTTCGGTCAGAGCCGACGGCAGTCAAAAAAAGCGTTACTTTCAACAAGCACACGTAAATCCTACTTATTCGCAGAGCACCCCGGCTCGAACTGAGCATAGAGGGCATTGCATAGAGAGAGGGAACCACCGGGCCACCCTTCCACAACACCTTGATACGACGCCCCGAATTTTTTATACGTATTTTCCGAAAAACCTCGTACGAAACAAACGACTATATGATAATTTCAAGCCCTACCTAGGTAATTCTGCCTCTTTTTAAATAACTAAGGTTTGACAATGGCAATTGATAATAAAAAATAAAGTTGATGTTGGAGGATAATAGACGAAACGTCGTATTGAAATTCTGATATGCCATCTTGTAGAGGAGACAATGTGGCAATGTTAATGTGCAATTTATTTTTAGGCCCCATCACAAATAAAATCAAGAAGGAATTAAAACGATTTTGGGATAATTCGCTTTTTTCGGTTTCTCTTCGGAATTCCTTCTGCGCGGCATTTTGTTAGTTACCTAAACAGGCAGCTTTGCCCCCAATATGATACGTTAGAGGAAATATGAGAGCTATGTAAAAACAATATCTTACCCGTACTGGTTCAGATTAACTTCTCAGCACGGGGTAGTCTTTTGTACTGAGCATATGCACTGTAAGATCTCACTAAACGTATACTTACTATCCATGCCGTTCATCTCCTCGTACGGCCGTTTCTTCAAATTCGGCGTCGCGGCAACAGGATTCAGTCCAGCCTGGGCCGCCAACTTATCCATTGGCGGTACTTCAGGCACTTTATTGGGCACCCTCTCATACATCAAACTGCCGTCTGGAGCTTTCGGTGGTTTTGGGAACGCCACTCGTTCCGGTTGAGGCAAATTACCCCGTTCCGTCAGGATGAGCCATTGAGGAGTAGTCGATCCTGGTTTGCCCAACCGGGTGGCTATCGCCGTCACGCTACCGCGTTCTTTTTTTCTGTATGCCAATAGGTGCTTCAGTTCTGCTAACGTCTTACCGACCTGCAACGGATTTGTTTGTTTGTTTAAGGTATATTCAGCATTGAAGCTACAATGTCAATTTGTATAATTATTCGTTTGGGGCCGTTCAACTATTACGTAAGCAAAGCTATTACCCCCTCCCCCCATGCTTACGTAAACATTTGTCAATTAATGTATTGTTTTTTTAATATTATGATTATAACGTTATACAGCAGACGCTCGATAACGTAAACACGGGATAATGAAAACTTGCGCTAATGTAAACACAAACTTCGTTCTATAGGATCAAACGGAACGCGCGATAACGTAAACAATGTGTACGCTCGATAACGTAAACAACTCTCGGCGTACGGAAACAGCGCGACGGTAAAATGCTGAAGCCTCCATGATTTATGTCGAGCGCCGGGGAGTCCCCGATTTATGATGTAGAGTGTAGGGCATTCACCTCTGCGATAAAATAAGACAAACTCGGTCAGTCGTATGATCGTTTAGGATACGTTTATACGTACGTATGTATTTCGTTTTTGAACTTAAGTGAATGCATTGCACGCGTTAATATATTTACGACTATGGCATCCACATCCTATAAAAGAAAGTGTTTAAAGTTGAGTGAGAAAGTGAAAATCATAGACGAAGTTGCACTAGGTGCGGGAGTGACACAGTTAGCAAAAAAATATGGAGTATCGAAAGCAACAATCTATAAAATTAAGCGTACGAAAACTCAAATTTTACAAAGAACGTGCAATACATTTGGAGGTCCGGGAAAAAGAAAAACTTAAAAAAATGCGAAGGCACCTAGAATGGAAAATTCCCTGTATAACTGGTTTTTATAACAACGGGAAAATCATGTCCTAGTTAGTGGCGAAGTACTTAAACAGAGAGCGAGACTATTAAATGAAAAACTGAAAGAAACTGAAAATTTCGTAGCTAGTGATGGCTGGCTACAACGATTCAAAACAAGATATGGAATTCGACTGCTGTCTATATCTGGTGAAAAATTATCAGCACAACCACAATTAGTGCAACCATTCAAAGAAAAATTGATGAAAACAATTACCGAGCTAGATTTAAGAATGAAACAAATTTACAACGCAGATGAAAGTGGCCTTTATTGGAAAATGTTACCAGAGAAAACCTATGCTGCATCATTTGAAAAATCTGCCCCGGGAAGAAAGCCGGAGAAACAACGAATAACGTTTCTAGCCTGCACTAATGCTAATGGTTCACACAAAATAAAGCCACTGGTAATTGGGAAAGGAAAAAATCCGCGCTCATTTAAGAATGTTAATATCCCTGTTGATTATAAGTGTTCAAAAACCGCTTGGATGACTAGCAGTATATTCCTGAAATGGTTCCACAGGTGCTTTGTCCCTCAGGTATGACAATCAATTATCACAAATGCTCTATTCATAATTTGAAGATGTGTTTTCAATTTGTAGGTAAAAGGTTTCCTGAAACAACAGAAGCTTCCAATAAAAGCGTTGTTACTATTGGATAATGCACCAAGTCATCCTCCCGAGCAACAACTGAGGAGCAGGGATGGGTCAATTTTCGTCATGTACATGCCGCCCAACGTAACACCGTTCATTCAACCGATAGACTAGAATATAATAAGACTCACCAAACTATACTATAGGAAGTTTCTAATTTCTTATCAAAGAATCCTGAAAACTTATCTGAGGCTTTAAAAAAAGTAACATTACGAGAAGCTGTTTTAGATTTACATATGGCCTGGAATGAACTTAACCAGCAAACTATTCAAAAATGTTGGAACAATCTCTTTTGTACCAATAATGAAGATGCTGAAGAAGACGATGTCCCCTTAAGCGTAATTAGAGAACGTTTGCGATCCAATAATGATAATGTTATTAGTGTGTCATTGGATGTTGTTGATTTATTGAAAACAGTGAATCCCAACACTGTTTGTACTCCTGCTGATATTAATTTATGGAACGAAGATAAACAGACGAATGATGCTGATAAGGAGGAGGATATGGACAATGTGACTGACGCGCAAGCTATACAAGTTTTTAACCAAGCTTTAGATTGGGCTGAAAGAAAAGAAGTTTCATACATGGATATTTTAGTTCTTCGTAAATTACGGGCGCAGGCATTGGAAGACAATGCTAAGCGCAAATTTACTCACACAAAAATTGTTAATTATTTTTCTTCTAATTAAAAAAATACTTATCGCTGTTAGAATATTTGTTTATTTTGTTATAAATAGTATGTATTAAACGTTTCTTTTAATAAATCAAATATTATATAAATCACGTTCGCTAATGTAAACATTTCGATAATCTGAACCACACTTGGATTAAATTAGTTTACATTATCGAGCGTCTGCTGTAATTATCGCTATATTAAACGTTTGTCCCATGAAGATCCTCGAATGCCAGCCACACAGATTTTCGAAAGAATCGTAGAAGAGGGTGCCGAGAATCTTTCGGTCAGAACAGGGCAAAGACGCTTGGTGGATTTTGGTCTTTTTGGTAGGCGTCCAGTGCAAAAGAAATCGTATTGCTCGTCTTGAATTTGCTAAAGCTCATCTAACTTGGACAGAACAACAATAGAATACAGTTTTATGGAGCGATGAAAACAAATTCAACTTGTTTGGATATGACGGTACGGCAGATGCGAGACGACCAATACGAAAAAGATTCGACAAAAAGTATCAGTTTAGGGTTGTTTTTGCTAAAATTGTTGGGACAATGGATCAAAAACTTTGGAAAGATATTCTTAATGAACTCATGATCCCTTTTGGTGAAGAAGAAATGCCTTTATGATGGACATTCTAGCAAGATAATGACCCCAAGCATACCTCAAAATTCGTAAAGGACTGTTTAAGACTCAAAATTTTAATGTTCTTACATGGCCTTCGCAATCCCCGGACCTAAACAATATAGAACATATCTGGGAACTTGTTAAAAGACAACTGACAAGAAAAAACTTTTAAAGAACGATTTGAATATGTAAAAATATTTGGCAAAATATCCCAACAGACGTCTGTAAAAAATTGGTGTCTTCTATGAGCAGCAAATGTCAGGCAGTGTTGAATGCTAAAGACTATGCTACAAAATATTAGCAGTATTTTTTAAATCTTTGTATTGTATAAAAAATATGTTTCCATACTTTTGTCGCTCATTTTTGGTCATAAAATAATATGAAGGTATTGTAATGCTAGTCTGTAGTACCACAGCAAACACAAATGTAATTTGTATCATCAAGACCGTAAGCAAACTATATGAGAAAAAAAATAGTCCTTAATAAAGAATAAAAAATTAGCGTAGTTTTTAAAAATTACTAAGAATGTTTCCAAACTTTTGTCCGCTACTGTAGGTCTTCAAAAATATAAATTGAATGGATGTGGTTATATTTGTAGATTTTTGAAATGATTTCTGCACGTTGACCTGTAACTGGAATTTGTAATTGTACTCAAAGACATTTTTTGTAAAATGAAAATTTTGCTATAAGCTTCTGAGTTTCCCCAGAGCATTGTAGCATATGTAAGGTGCCTATGAAATATGCTGAAGTACACTACCCGCAAAGTATGGTTATTGAAGCATCTACTATGCTGCCTAAGTACTACTGAGAATTGTGTAGACAGTCTAGATTGTTATAATCAATGAGGGATGTCAATTTTAGTCTTGTATCGAGTACTATTTCTAGAAGTTTTACTGGTGCAGATTTCACAATCCACCTGTCAGAGAAAAATGTGATATGTTCTGTCTTGTTTCCATTTAGGGATAACTTGGCTAAAAACCATTTTTCGGCTTGTTCCCGGCTATCCACACCCGTATTTTGGCAGATTTAGACAGCAAATAGGAAGCAGAATCCGTAATCAATACTCGAGGCAGGTCATTGATATACAGTAATGGACAAAAGTGTATAGACAAATGTGAATATTTATCTAAATACCTTTAGAAAACGAATTCATACTTTCATTGCTCCATAAACAAATGCGTTATTAGTAGAAAAACAACATTGCCAAAAATTTGAAGCTGAAGCGTAAAGCAGTTTGGGCAATACTGAACAAATATAAACAAAAAGGTATCTTGGAAGCCTCTAAGAGAAGTGGTCGGCCTAGAAAACTAAATGCTAGATCAGTTAGATTAATAAAAGCAATTTCGTCCAAAGATCCGTTTAAAACTCCAAGACAAATGAAAGCCGAAATCGAGACAAAAGGAATTGCCAGTGTTTCTACGAAAACTATAAGTAGAAGATTAAATGATGTGAAGTTATTTGCACGTCGCCCGAGTAAGAAGCCGCTAATCGCGAGGAAAAACCGTAAGGACCATTTGCACGGTTGCATCTTGATTGGAGCATCTGTGACTGGAAGAGGGTATGTTTCAGTGACGAATCCAAGTTCAATATGTGTGGATGTGGATGGTGTCCATTACGTTAAACGCCCTAGTGGACAAAGATTGAACCCCAAGTACACTTTGCCCACTGTCAAACGTGGAGGCGGGTCTGTTATGGTTTGGGGGTGCTTTTCGGGGTTTAGGATGGGACCTTTACATAGAATAGATGGCATTATGGATAAGTGTGCATACACATACATACTAGCATGTCATGTTACCCTATATGGAAGACAATATGCCCTTAAGATCAATCTTCCAGCAATATTATTGACCCGAAGCACACTTCAAATCTCACAAATAAATTCTTCTGGTTGAAAAAATACCAGTTCTCAAATGGCCTTCACAGTCTCCCGATATCAGCCCCACTGAAAATCTATCGGAATACTTAGATAAACAAATACTAGATAAAAATTATTCAAACAAGGAAGAACTTTTTGCCGCTTTAGAGCAAAAGTGGAGACAGATTGATGAATCTTATATCAAGAAACTTCTACAATCTATGCCGAGATGATGCCGGCGGTGATTGATAATAAATAATACAAAATATCAACACAAACATGGTTGTTTTTCTATAATTCAATGAAATTTGCTTGTTTTTCTATAATTATTTTGCTTTGTCTATATATTTTTGTCCTTCATAGTTTTTTCAATTAATTTTTTATTGAAGTGAGTTTAATGAATTTATTTATGTATAAGTCAGTATTATACTATAACGGATTACGTATACAGGTTGGTGTATTAATAAAACAAGGTAAGAAAGAAATACAGCACAAAATTAATTTATCTATATAATTTTTTTCCATTACTGTATATTAGAAATAGCAGGGGGCCAAGTACTGATCCCTGCGGCGCCCCCTTGCAAATATGCAAAAGGTCAGAGGCGGTACCCTCACAACTTGCATACTGCCTCCTTCTTGACAGATAAATAAATAATATTTGTATACTTACCATTTGTAGGCTACACTCCTGCTTGATAGCTTGCACGTTGATAGGATGGAAAGGCGCCCTGGCCGCGTGTCTGGGCCTCATAATATGGCCGCACAGACGACGTGACACCCGTGTGGCCGGTGTCGTGAACAGGTAGAACGCTGTCCGCGTTTTCATCACCGGTCTCGGTGAACCTGAACGCACCACAATTCCGTGCGCCGTCGCATAGTGCCTGCCCAGGTGCGCCTTCAGCTTGAATTCTTTGTTGCAGCCGCCGATGTTGCAACGGTGAGGTCTGGAATATACATAATGTATCCGTTTCTAATAGGCTACTTGACTCATATACAAGTTCTTAGAATAAATGCGTATTTCTTACAGTATTTGGCTTAGGACAACGGAATATATAGATCTCAATTTTTAAAAGCGCAAGATTGACATATAAGTCCAATTTAAAAAAATATATTTTGCATTTTTAATACGGAACGGTGAACACACTATCGGCCATGATGTGACGTCATACAAATTGTAAACGAAGACATGTCATTCTTTATGTAGATTAAGATTGTCTTCTTGAGATATTTAAAAAAACTCCATAATCAATGTAAAATGTTACATTTCATGGACAATGGAAATTCTTAGCAATACAGGTTTTGTTTTTCGAAATATTTGTATCTCATGTAATTGAAGTTTTTTGAAATAATGTATTTTTAGCAATCATGCTAAATAAATCTCAAACAAAGTCAGCTTATTTCTGATATTATGTGCGTGATAATAAGGAGCAGCCTGTACACATGGTGAATGTAGAAGGTCTTTAACAATCTCAATGGGACATTTTTTTTTGTAACAACTTACCGGTGTGGCATTCCAGGTAGTCTGTCCTCATCAATGTCACTGCCGGACTTTTTACTTTTGCCTCCATTTTCAAAATCACCGTCTCCGAATCTAGTCGGTATTTTCAGCCCGCCATATTTTTTCCAATATTGCCAGCATGCTTGGCAAAGTCGACACTGCATATGTGAAGGACCCCACGCGTACCACTGATTGGATACAGTAACTGGAAAACATGCGTTACAATCGCACTATGAATCATATCCATCAAGTCGGCAAATACGAGATAAAAATTATTCAGTCAAGGATGAACTTTTTGCCGCTTTAGAGCAAAAGTGGAGACAGATTGATGATTCTTATATCAAGAAACTTCTAAAATCTATGCCGGGACGATGCCAGGCGGTGATTGATAATAATGGTTATGCTACAAAATATTAACACAAACATGGTTGGTTTTCTATAATTCAATGAACTTTGCTTCTTTTTTCTATAATTGTTTTGCTTTGACTATTTATTTTTGTCCTTCATAGTTCCAATTTTTTTCAATTAATTTTTTATTTTATGAATTTATTTATGTATATTATGCTATAACGAATTATGTATACAGGTTGGTGACTTAATAAAACAAGTTAAAAAAGAAATACAGCAAAATATTAATTTGTCTATATACTTTTGTCCATTACTGTAAATACGATACAAAAAATGTTCGTCCTTGGCTTAGTAGTAACACCCTTATAGGGTCACTGCAGCTGATTTTTACGGATAATCAAACTAAATGTATTGAAGTCACAGTTATTTTGCTAATTCTAACACATCAAATATATTTATTAGTGACAGCTGAAATGTCAGCTACTTACCATTACATGATTCACAAGCCTTTCCTCCCAAAGATACTCCGGCATCTGCGCCACCATTACTGCTTCCGTTCACAACCCCCTTATTATTATTCAGTGCTGCCGGGTTTGGTTTGTTACTAAAATGAACGCGCGTTAGATAAAAAATCTACTGGACACATCACTATGAATACGAACTCACTAGTTAGGAATGTAGACTTGCTTCAGCTTCGCCTCAGCTTCGACCGCTTTCACCCGTTTCTGTTGGACATATCTATCGGTCGTCTTCCACATGTAATAATACTCTATAATATTCTTTAAAGTCTTCCAGGGCAGAAAGTCCTGGCGGATGTCGTTGAAATCCTGTAAGCGCAAAAAAATTAAGTAAAAATTGGTTCTGGCTGATTTATTTAAAGCATAACATAACTGAAATGGGTGCTTCGAGCTAGACCGCTAATTCCTGTTAGAATAGAGGAATAGATACATATGCTCTATTGTCTGAAGAATACATTCATACTTAATGACAAAGCTAACTTGACAGTAAACAAAACTACATATATGGATCTCAAGTAAAGACATTGTAGAACTCACACATGGTATAATATTATCGCGGAATATCTTTAAATTGTTTATTCCTTTGATATCATCAGGGAGGCACGCACACGTAAATTTTTAGGCCATTACAAGTGATTGATTCTTTCAAAAGTGTAGATTTAGATACTACTAATTTAAGATCTTGTTTTCGTCTAATATCGTAAGTCCTACAGGGTGGCCAAAATATAACTTACTGATTTAGCACGTGTCCAACTCATCAGGGAGGACTCCACGAACCCAAAACGCGTCCCTATTGTTAAAACGTTTGACTTGAATAATGACTCGATTGTTGCAACGACTCGGAAGCTACAACAAGATTTCGGTCGAATAATGTGCCCAGGGTGCAACACCATTCGTCAGTTGGTGCGGGAATTTGAACAAACAGGTGAAGTTGAAGACTTGTCAAGGAGGTGTTCGAACTGTTCGTACTCCGGAAAATATCGAGAGTTCATGAAAGTGTAGTGGAACGCCCTGAGACGTCTACCAAACATCGTTCTCAAGGACTGGGTATTTTCGTCGCACGTCATTATCCACTATTTTAAAAAGACTTGCATTTGCGGCCATGCAAAATTCAGTTAATCCAAGAACTACAGCCTAGTGACCATGAAAGTCACCGACAATACAGTCATGCAGTCTGGGCATAAGAGAACCGTCGTCTCATTCATCAACGACCACTACATCCTCGTCGAGTCACAGTTTAATACGCTGTTTGGTATGGAGGTGTCATTGGACCTTACTTCTTTGAAGAGGATGCAAGTCATTCTCTTACTGTCACTAGCGGGCGCTACCGTGATGGGGTGCAAAAGTTTCTGGCTCCTCAAATCCAACAATTTAACCTGCAAAACATGTGTTTCCAGCAGGACGGAGCAACTTGTCACACAGCTAGGGAAACTGAATCTTTTGCGAACAATATTTCCGGGACGTTTAAGTTCTCGATTTGGTGATATCAACTGGAAACCAAGGTCATCGGATTTAACGGCTCTTGACTTTTTTGTGAATTTTTAAGAAATACGGTTTATGCCAACAAACAAAATACTGTAGGGCAGCTAAAGAACAATATTACGGAAGCGATGGAAAATATTCCTCCCGAAACCTACCAACAAGTAATGGCAAATGTAATCAAGAGGGCTCATGTTTCAGCGGCTTCTAGAGGAGGACCTTTGTCTGAAATTATTTTTCATACATAATTTCCAAGTTTCAATAAAATATTAAGATGAAGAAAATGAACGTATACTAAGTGGCATATAAATCGGAACACCCAGTTTAAATGGCTTTATTTTATTGTAAATAACAAGTGAAAAAATTTTCAGCCTTATCAGTTGGACATTCCGGTTTTTATACTGCTTTTTTTTTAATTCACTAACGCTCTAAAATGAATATTTCAGCCGCAGTAAGAATCAACGTTGGCAGATTTTGGTTTCTTAACATCCTTTACGATCGGTTACGATGCCTAGAGTACGGAGACCTGTACGATTTCGTCAACCTAGTGAGTTTGATAGGGGCCGTATAGTGGGACTTCGGAAAGCTGGACTTTCTTTTCGGGCAATTGCAGTTAGAGTGCAAAGAAGTGTAGACACTGTGGTTAGGTGTTGTCAGGCATGGCTTCGAGAAGGCCGTACGCAAAGAGCAAGGGGCACTGGACGCTGCCGTAGAACAACAGACCGTGAAGATCGCCGCCTAAGATTATTGGCCTTAAGGGACCGTTTCTCCACTACCAGGTCCATTGCAAATGAATGGTTTGCAGAACACGGAAGACCTATTGGCATGCAATGTGTTTACCGACGAATGAGAAGTTTTGGCTTGTTTTCATACCGGCCACACTGGGTCCTCCCTTTAACTCGAGAACACCGACGTAATCGCCTTGAGTGGTGCAGACAACGGTCACTCTGGGATCAGGAATGGAACAGGAATGTCTTTAGTGACGAGTCTCGATTTTGTTTAGGCATGCACGATGGTCGTGCCAGGGTTAGAAGGCGACGTGGTGAAAGGAGGAATCCACAGCTTTTTGTTGAAAGACATGTTCATCACACTGTTGGAGTTATGGTTTGGGGTGCTATAGCTTATGGTTCCAGGTCACCTTTAATCTTCATCAGAGGTAACATGAACGCGCAGCGTTATATCCACGAAGTTCTAGAACCCCATCTTTTACCCTATCTTGACACCCTGGCAGATCCAACTTTCCAACAAGATAATGCCCGACCACATGTTGCAAGAGTCACAATAGACTTCTTTCAACATAATGATGTCACATTGTTACCATGGCCACTAAGATCTCCCGACTTATCCCCAATTGAGCACGTGTGGGATATGATGGGTAGGAGATTGCTCAATTTGCAACGTCCTCCTCAGACTCTAGAAGCACTTCGAGAGGAATTGGTGGTTGCCTGGAATGAGATACCACAGGAGGACATTGACCACCTGATCAGAAGCATGCCTACGCGCGTTGGAGAATGCGTAGCACATCAGGGTGCATCCACAGATTATTAAAGGTCAAAGGGCTTTAAAGCAGTGCAATCATTTTGAAATTTTTATCACTTACTTATTATGCTTCATTAAGTACTTATACAAAATGTTATTAAAATAAAACCATTTAAACTGGGTGTTCGAATTTATATGTCACTTAGTATATTTTATTTCATTTCACAAATATTCGAGATACAAACCAGTCAGTTATATATCGGCCAACCTGTATTTGATGTCTGAAATTTATATTTTTTAAAAGTAAGAGTTGCTGTTTCTAAAATAAACAATGATACGACATTCATCAGTTTTGAGATTTGAAAATAAAGGCCTGCATGTAGTTGTAGGATTTATTTCAGTTATATATACAGGGTGACTTCGAAGTTGAGTCATTTATTTTAACAGTGAATAGATCTGATCAAAAGAAATGTTTTTTTCCTTTACCATTTTTCTGGTAAAATTAAAGTAACAAAGTTATAGCCCTTTGGAAGTTTGAGTACCGCCCTGTCTCAATATCATGTGCTCGTGTTTGGCAACAACGGATATAATCCGCCTTACCGGTTCATCGCATCGGAAACAAAAAAGCGAAAGAATTTGGAACGATGTTTGTGTACAGTTTATTATTTTATTCAGTTCAGTTATACATACAGTCAATGTCAGTGTCGCGTGTGAATAGTGTCTGTTGCGTGGCTCAAACGAAATAAAAAATGGCACATGTTTATGCGGATCGGTTTCCCAATCGAGTGCAACCAACCCCTCGTGCCTTGTTAATGTAGTACAACGGGCTCGTGAATCAGGTGACTTAAGACCTCACAGGGGACCTCACGATCAAATACAGGTCCGCACTGAAATACTTGTCGGGAGGATACTTTATAAAACAAGGTAAAAATTTTTTTTAATTTTTTTTTATTTTTACACACATATTTTGGTTTATCTTCTACAATCATTATCTGAAAATTAATGACTCAACTTCAAAGTCACCCTGTATATATACAGGGTTATCCAAATTAAGTGTCCACCATTAGTAACTTTGTTATTAGTGAAAATACAAAGTTGTTTGAATTAGCAAACTAGTAGCATTTTTAACGCTGGTAAAAATGAGAAATAAAAAAAAACAATTGAGAGTCGTTATTTTGATTTTTTTCAGTAAAATAACATTTTTTTAAATGGAAACCCCTGTATATTATATTTTTTTCTGTTAAAGCATCAAATTTTAAACAAAAAAGTTCATAATGACTTTTCCGCTAAAGTCAAAAATAAAGTCAAAATAACGATAAATATTTTTAATTATTTGCAGTATTATAATATTAAGACGGCTATGAAAACAACATGGCGTTCGCGATTTGACAGCATTAAGATAAGCGACAAATTGTTAAACTGGACATACTCGCAACTAGAAGGCTTTGGAAAACAATGATAAAATCAAATAATGTCAAATATTAGTGTAAATACTTGTTTATAAGCTTTATTGTGTCATTAATTTAAAGAAAAATGTTCTCCCATGAAGAAAAGTGTGATATGTTAGAATGCTATTTAGTGTGCAGAAAATCCTCCTTGAGAGCAAGAGAATACTACAGTGAATTATATCCCGCTCGCATTCAACCGTATGAACGATATTTTCTGAGACTTTATCGAAAATTTAGGGGCAACGAAAATGTTTTTGCTAAAACAAGGGCAAAAAAAGAATTCATAATAAGCGAGGCCACGGAAATTGCAGTTATTGGATATTTTGAAGCTTATCGTGAGAATTCAATAGCAGATATTCTCAAGGACTCTAATTTCAGTTATGGTACTGTTCAAAGGATTTTAAAAAAATACAAATTTATTCCGTATAAGTACCGACCAGTTCAAACGCTTTTGGCAGGGGATCCAGAGAGAAGACTTGTTTTTTGCCATTGGTATCTTAGCTTCTGTCGCCAAAATGTAAATAACTTTCGTTACCTTTTATGGACAGATGAATCAAATTTTTTAAATTCTGGAATGTTTAATAGAAAAAACCACCATTATTGGTCAAGAGAAAATCTTTTGTTAGTACATCCAAGAGGCCCACAAGTCCGTTTCAGTTTCAACGTTTGGTGCGGTATAATTGGTTCAAAAATTGCTGGCCCGTTCTTTTATGAGGGAACCCTAACTGGTGAAAGATATGTGGAATTTATGTCAGAAATTCTGACTAATTTCTTAGACGAATTGGATCTTATAAGTAGACATCATCTGCATTTTCAGCAAGATGGCGCACCTGCCCACAACTCCAGAGGTACTTATCATTTTCTAAGTACTACTTTTAATGATCAGTGGATAGGAACAAATGGCCCAATACAGTGGCCTCCCAGATCACCAGATCTAAACCCACTTGATTACTTCTTGTGGGGTTACTTAAAGAACCAAATTTACAAGCGAAGGTACGATAACCTTGACGCGTTAAAGACTGCAGTTAGGGAAAAGATAACCCAGATAGATGGTAGGACCATACTTAAGACAGTTCGAGCAGTTGAAAAACGTGCCCAAAAATGTATTGAAGAACAAGGTGGTGTTTTCGAGCATCTTCTTTAAAAAAAATTGTTATTGTATTTTGTAAGATTATAAGTTGATGTTGAAAATAAAGTTTGTCGATACAATTTAATTGTTTCAGATTGGAGGCCATAACTTCAACAATTTGTAACCTAGGAGAAAAGTTATTGTAAGCTTTTTTGTTCAAAATTTGATGCTTTAACAGAAAAAAATATAATATACAGGGGTTTCCATTTAAAAAAATGTTATTTTACTGAAAAAAAATCAAAATAACGACTCTCAATTGTTTTTTTTTATTTCTCATTTTTACCAGCGTTAAAAATGCTACTAGTTTGCTAATTCAAACAACTTTGTATTTTCACTAATAACAAAGTTACTAATGGTGGACACTTAATTTGGATAACCCTGTATATTAATTAGTTCGTTTTTGTAGAAAAAAGCACTTTGTTGACTAATTTTCGGAACGGACACACCAAAAAGGAATGCTATATCTCAATCTACTTTCAAATAGAGCAAATTAATCTGCTTTTGCCTACGTTGTGACTAATTGTTCTTATAATGAAGGAAATATTTGCCTTGTTGAGCAAGAATTGGTTTATCTGATTATCAAAATTTTATTTATGATCAATTGGTCAGTCATAAAAATTTAATGGTGTCTGTTTTGTGTATTAAATCATTATTTAAATTCATAAAATCAAAGGAGGATTCAAATGTCATAAATTTGATCTTAGTGACAGTGAAAGTTAAGTAATTGTTATCACACCATTTTTTGATCGATTGTATATTACTGTCAATTTTTGCCATAATTTTATCTATATCTGTGCCTTGCCAAAGTATTGAGAAATCGTCAGCAAAAACTATGAATCTACCATTTATTAAATCGTTAACACAAACTGAGAATAGGATCGGAACTAGTATTGATCCTTAATCTACCCCTACTTTAATATCTAATTTATTTGAGGTACAGGGTGGACCAGAAAGACAAATTTCAAAACCGCATTGCTCGTGACAAGAACGCGGGAGCGGGACACGGGTAGTGGGGATGAATAGCTTGGAGTTCGGAAATTTATTTGCCATGGAGCGTTGCACCGGTGAGCAGTGTGCATTGTGTTGAGACTTATTATAAAAATGGAGATTTGTGCACTGTTGCGCGGCGTCTGTTTCGTTCTGAGTTTAGTTTATATGTCCTAGTGAAAGTGTGATCAGGATATGAGTTAGAAAGTTCGAGTCTACCGGTTCGACACTGAATCAGAAACCTGTGGGGCATCCAAGGTCAATACGAACAGAGGAAACTGTAAACGAAGTTCGGTGGTTCCCTCTCTCTCTATGCAATCCCTTCTACGCTCAGTTAGAACCGGATCGCTATGGGATTAAGTTGATTTACGTGTGCTTGTTGAAAGTAACCTTTTTTTACCTGCCGTCGGCATGCAGCTCTCACTGATCGAGGAACTGCGCATCAACATCGAGTTTCTTGCAAAGCTATGCAAAAATGGTCGTGAGATTTTTGAGTTTTTGGAACAAGTTTACGGATACAATTCTCTGAAGGAACCAACCGTCAACAAGTGGTTAAAAAGGTTTCGGGAATGCCGAGAAGATGTGAAAGATGACCAACGCTCAGGACGCCCCTCCTCATCGAGCTCTGATGGAAATGTTGAACGACTTTGGGGGTGTTTTGTTAAAAACCGTCGATTGATGCAATCGACCAAGAAATTCTGACAGGAAAACATGAAATTAAAAATTGCACGCGAAAATCATTCCGGAGCTCTTGATTCCACAACAGAAAGTAATGGGGGTTGCTTGCTGGGAAGCAGAGGAAAGGGGGAGACTTTCTCAACCGGGTCCTCACTGAAGACGAGTCTTGGTTCTACGAATTTGATGTGGATCTGAAATCTCAAAGCATGGAGTGGAAGCAAGAAGCAGACCGAGAACAAAATGTTGAGAAAATGAAGGTCCAATGTGAAAACAAAGTACATTGTTTTCTTTGATTCTCTGAGCATTGTTCACCAGGAATTTGTCCCTTCCGGCCAGAAAATGAACGGGAATTCCTACATTGAAGTTTTGCATCGTCTCAGAGCTCGTGTCGCCCGAGTTCGACCGGATTTGGCACAAGGGTCGATCCTTCATCGAGACAACGCGCCTGCTCACACGTATCTCATTGTGCGTGAGTTTTTGGCCCGAAGCTCAATCACCGTGACCGAACACCCGCCTTATTCACCCGATTTAAACCCTTGCGACTTCTTCCTGTTCCCAAAAGCAAAATTGTGCTTCACGGGCGGCACTTTTGGGATGTGGAAGCCATCAAGGCAGAAACGACACCGCAAACGAAGAGCCTCACAATTGAACACTTTCAGCGATCGTATCAACAGTAGAAACGGCGTTGGCAGAAGTGCATCTTGTCTCAGGGGAGTACTTTGAAGGAGACCATATTGAAATATCTGAACAATCGTAAAATAAACTTTTATACGTATTTTCCGAACACATCTCGTATAATCTGCGCTGGATAAAATAAAAAAAGCTGAACTCACCTTGCCGTACTTGTCAAGAGCCTCCTCGAACAAATTCGCTTCCGAGGCGCTCCACTCCTCCATCTCGTCCCTACAAAGAACCGGTCCACTACTAGGTACTAAAGAACACAACGCAGCAGCTAAATCGTAATTGTGCCTGTGGAGAGTATCCATCGCGTGGAAAAGCGTGACGTCGCGACTTGCAGCCGCCGCTGACATGTGCAGCGACGGTTGCTTCACGCTTGAGCTGCAGTCAAGGGCCCTGAAAGAAGCAGAAGCAATATATTATTTTTTCCACTCAAACTGAAACAGTGTTTATATTTGGTTTTAAAAGAAAATATTTATCATTTGCCAATAGGCAACTTGATTCATATCTAATTTGAGAGAATAAATGAGTATTTCTTACAGTGTAAAGCGCAAGATTGAGCCATTTATTTTAACAGATGATCTTTGTACTTTTTACCGTTCACCAAACAGTGATGCGGATACATTTTTAATGTTTTTTGAAGAGAAATTCGGAGAAATGTGGAATTTTAGAAACAATATAATACTTTTAGGTGATTTTAATTTAAACTATTATAGCAAAAGCATGAAAACAAGAAAATTGAAAGAAACCATAAATAACTATGGGTTCAAGCAAAAAAATTGGAGAGAGTACCAGAATAACATCATTATCAGAGACTTTGTTAGATCTTGTTATTGTAAATTTCGAATGTGTAGGGATTAAAGCTGTACATACACCTAAAGTTAGTGATCACAGTTGGACAATGCTGCCCTTGGTAGGACATTTTTCTAATACAAAAATTAATAAAATCGTGAATACTATTAACTACGAAAAACTTGAACTAGAACTTGATGGCTGCTATTGGAATTTTTGTGAGAATATGGAAAAAATATATGACAACATAATAGGAAATATAAAAACTTGTTTAGATCTTGCAACTGATAAAAAAGTGATTTGCTCGACAAAAAATACACCATGCTATAACAAAAATATTAAGGCAGCTCAAAATTTGAGAGACAAACAAAACAAAAAATGTATATTCACAAAATCAAATGATGATTGGGAGGTATATAAAACTCTTAGGAATAAATGTTTGTATGTAATTAGGGAAGAAAAAAGGAAATTCTACGATAAACAAATCGATAACAACAAGTGCGACAGTGTTAAGATGTGGAAAACTTTAAAAAGACTGATCAATTCGAAGCCGCATGATTGTGTAAATCAAGTTCAATTCGAAAACGGTACCGAAACGAATTCTTTGGTGATTGCAAACAAACTAAATGAATATTTTGTGGAAAGTATTGATGATATTGTGGGTACTGTCAATGCTGCACCTGACTATATGAAAATCCGTTTCCAGGGGGAAGTGTTGCATACACTTTCAAAATTTCATAACGTATAATTGAATTATCTGAGAAAAAAAATAAACAGTTTAAAATCCAACAACAACAGTGCCGAAATCACTACTAAAAACTTATTGAAAAACTGTTTCGAAATTTTGGGACATCCTGTATTAAATTGGATTAATTGTTCACTGAGAAGCAGTTCGTTTCCTGAAAATTTGAAATGCTCTACAATAACACCAGTTTCCAAAATTAAAAATTCTAAAAGATGCAGCGATATGAGACCAGTAAATGTGTTACCAGACATTAAAAAATTGTTGGAGTCCGTAGTGCATGACCAATTAATGCAGTTTATAGAAGAAAACAAAATTTTAGTGGAAGCGCAAGCAGGCTTTCTCAAACACTTTCCAGTTGGTAACTGAGAATTGGAGAAGAGCCATATGCAAGTTACAAAAGTTAATGCCACTATTTCATCAAAAATTGCAAATACGTTGGGTGTTCCACAGGGCAGTATCCTGGGACCACTTCTTTTTATTTTCTACATAAATGATTTACCTGCCATAGTCAAAAAATGCAAAATTTAGATTTTCGCCGATGACACTATGATTTATATAAGTACTAAAAATATTCAGACTGGTATCTCTTACATAAATGAAGACTTGAAACTTGTTTCAAAATGGTTAGCATGTAACAGACGAAACCTATGTTAAAAAAACAATGTACAAATGTTATTGATGGTGAAGATATTGAATTCGTAGAAAATTTTAAATACCTGGGGGTTTTTGTTGACTCTCGATATTAATTTTTGATATACATTATGAAAAAGTTATAAATAAGATTAGTAGTAAAGCGGGATATTTATCAAGAGTTTCTGGATGTCTTGAGTTCATATAGCAGAAAAACAATCTATAATACCATCATTCTTCCAAATTTCTTGTACTGTTCGACTATTCTATATTTAGCAAATAATTCCATTTTTGAAAGTCTGCAAATTTTACAAAACAAGTGCATGAGAATAATACGGAACAAAGATAAATATACTCCAATTAGCAAATTAAAATGGCTCAATGTAAAAAAGTTTATCAAATACCTTGTAATGAAATTTATTTATAAAGTAAAAAATAATATATTTCCATCAAGTCTAACTAATTTAACATCATCAAATGCCGACCATCATTTACATACTACCCGAAATAAAGATAACTTCCATTCAATGACCAAAAAGTATAACATGCTACAAATCTGTATTCCATCAAGGGCTGATTGAATATCATAAATTATACACAGAGATAAAAGACCAGAAAACTTTGACAAATTTAAATTAAAATTGAGGAATCACTTGTTAAATCTACAATTACAGCTTGCCCAGCATTTACATCATACATCATATGGCTTGAATTTACTAATTCTAAGTTGTTTTCTATTATTCTGTTTATGTAGCCAAATGTGCTAAATAAATATTTCTACTACTACTACTACCTTGTAGAACTCGTCAAAAGATGATATACCAAAAATCACCTACATATATAAAAGTTGCATAATGAGAGTTAGTTTATATCATTAAATCTTATTTAAGAAAAATCGTGCGCTCTTGACGTTCCTAGTATCTACTTCTCCATCATGATACACCAACTCTTTCAAATAGCCACACAGAAAAAAATCGCAAGGCGTTAAATCCGGGGAGCGAGCAGGCCAAGAAATGGGTCTATTGCGCCCTATCCATCTATTCGGAAACTAGATGTTCATAAACTTCTGGTCTAAAATGTGGTGGAGCCCCATCACGTAGGAACGATATATTCTGTCTCATATTTAGAGGAGCATCTTCTAATAATTCTCTCTTCTAGGATGATCTTCAGGTTGTAACACTTGTACCCGTTGAAAATAAGGATAATACTGTTCTTGTCATATTGTCTTCCTCCACACTTTACTATGAGAAACTTCAACCGGAGCTGCTATGGCTGTAATACTGATTTTTGTGCCATCTTCGACCTTTCCTAAAATGTCTTCCTCATTTTGTAACATTTTAGGTTTACCAGCATGACTTCCTCGTTTTCGTAAACATTGGCCATTTTTTTGCACAAAATAATCAGACAAATGGAAGTATACGCACTATTAAAAGACTGATACAATACAAAAAGTTTGCCAAATTTAGAGAAACGATAAGAGTAGTAAACATGAAACGCTAAGATTTTACACGGCAGTGGTCGAGAATATCAAAAAATCTGTATACTAACATTCTTATTTTTTTTTTAATTTTTAATCATTTACTTTTTTTATTATGCAACTTTTATATAGTTTATTTTTGGTATATTAACTCCTTTTGACGAGTCCTACAAGCAGTTAAAATGAATGACTCAACTTGGAAAACAATATAAATACCCCAAAAGATAAATTACTAATATAGAATTTTGCATAGTCCAAGTGTTTATTCTAAAGGAAAATATCACTATCATTCTTCCTTATTTGTTATATTGTTCAACTATTTTTTTCACTACAAACGAAACTGTACTTTGAAAATTACAAATAATAAATGAAAACCATCTTATATCAAACATTTCATTTTCATATTGAAGTTAAAAAACCATCAACCAAATCATTTAGAAAATTTTATCTAGAGGAAGTATAGACTTTTATTTACAAAATTGTGGTAGCAATATAACAAAAAAAATCAGTGTTTGAAAAGAGATTGTTCGAATTTAATAAATTAAATAATGATATCAAGAAATGTGCCAGTTTGAAAATGTTCAAATGAAACCAACAAATATTTCATGGAAAAACAGAATTCATAGTAGTGAAATTTTTTCATAAAAATATGTAGATTTGAAGTCATACGATTGGGGTCCGATAAGTACTTAGCGTACAAAAGAAAAACGAAAATTTTTGGGAAAAAAATAATAGAATCGAAATAGTGTATGGTATCACATGTCATCTAAAATCAGTATTATGAGCCGGTACATAATAAATCTAATCTAATAGAGGATCATAAATCTAAATAGAAAAAAATCATACCTCGCAAAAGTCCCCACAGATCTGGACACGACTAAAAACTGATCAATCTGTCGATCAGTTAAACTATGGTTTGGTGTCCAAACAAGAGTTTCTAATTCATCTAGGTTCCTGTCATCGGGTGACAGCGGGTCCCGCACCATCGTTGGCACATCACATTGGTATCTGCTACCTACCCTAATTTCACCTGGAAATATGACATGTAATTAATAAATGATCAGTAGATATTCTAAATAACAAAAGGCAGAAGTGCTGGCAGCCCAAAGCATGAATTAAAGTGAGAAAAGTGAGATTTTACAAAAAAAACGTATTGAGAAAATAGTGAGTTTATATATAAAAAAGTGAGTTATTTTCTGAGAACTATATTAAATTGTACTGTACAACGGGATCAGTGGCTCAAAAACCCAGAACTGTAAGTTGCCCGCGTTATTCCAATAAGAACTTAAGAGCCTTAAAACGGATTATCAAAGAAAATCAAGCAACCACAAAAAATTTCTCAAGAGCTACTTGTCACAGAGCAGCCCACAAACTGGGATTTAAAACTTACAAAATAGGCTTAAATTATTTTTTATTATTCGTTTTTAATTCAGTATTTCTAGGCAAAAGAGAAGCCCTTACTGACAAGGTACAGAAGAAAAACAGACTAACGTGGGCCAAAGAGCACAAATTATAGTCTCCGAACCAATGGAACTCCATTATTTGGAGTGATGAAGCCAAATTTGTTGTATGAGTTAGTGATAGTAGGAGTCTTGTCATAAGAAATGAAATGTTAAGACTATTGTACGAAAAAAACTGATCAAAAAATGAAATTGTGGAATCTGGGGGAAGAATTTGGTGAATATTATTTATAAAACATAACAAAAATTGTTCGTTTGGAATATGATTATCCATTTAAGTTTAATTTACATAATCCAACAAATAAGTGCTGCAACCTCAAGATTACTCAATTAATTTGTTCTTTAGGTTTGGATTAAGCTTATGCAATTGTTTCACCTCATTGAGTGGAACCCTCATGGAATGTGTGACTAAATTGGAACGCACATTGTTTCTTTGGGCTGACTATCAATAGATCAGTAATAAATACCTTTATCCGCCAATAGCGTCTTCTGTGTTGGATCGAATACGAGACAGTAGAAAAACATGTCATCCCTGTTCAGGTAAGAAGCCAGAGCCTCGGTTTCGTTGAAAAGTGTTACAGAACATTTGCCTCGTATGTGTGTAGCAGGCAGAGTTTCCACCTGTGGATTATAATAATAAGTCCGTCTTTATTTGTTACAATTGTATATACCAAAAAGGGGTTGCAACATATGTTCTTAATGACTATCGCAAAAATTTCGAATGTATTTTCCGGAACAATAGTTATACGAGGGATGTCTTTTAAGTTTTGCATATGGAAATAAAACAACACGGTAGCTAGTTTTAAATGACTTTATTGTTTTTCGAAGTCTTCTCCACGAAGATTAATACACATCTGCCTGCGCTCTAACCAATTTTCGAAGCACTTATTCCACTCGTTTGCTGCTAGATCCAAAACGGCATTTTTGAATGCGCCAACTGCTTCTTCTTGTGACTGGAACCTTTGACCACGCAGTCTGTTTTTAATTTTCGGGAAAGTAAAGAAATCGTCAGGACTAAGATCGGGACTATATGGAGGATGGTCCAATAATTCCACGTTTTCGTCCGTTAAATACTGCCTTGTTTTTTGGGCTGTGTGCGAGCTTGCATTGTCTTGGTGGAGGATGATTCTTCTTTCGGGGTTGATTTTTCGAAGCTCGGTGATGACTTTTGGCAAACAAATGATTGTATACCAATCCGCAGTAACAGTTCTTTGCTCATTAAGAGGAATTGTTGCAATATGACCCGCTTTTGACACAAATGTCGCGACCATCTTTTTCGAAACACTTCGAGAACGGATGACTTTTGGTGGCTTTTCTTCACCTTGAACACCCAAACAGCCGACCGTCGTTTATTTTCTGGTTCATAACAGTAAATCCACGATTCATCACCACTAACAATGCTGTACACATATTTGTGTTTCCGGAATTGAAACAGTCCAGCGTTTTTTGACACCAATTAACCCTGGCTGCTTTCTGCTCGTCAGTCAACAGGTGGGGTATCCAACGAGAAACTAATTTTCTTACTCCTAATTCTTCATCTTCAAGGACGCCTCAATCTCACGATATGTCACATGTCTATCTTCAATGATGAGTTTGCGCACAGCATCGACGTTTTCCTGGGTGACTGCTGTTTTTGGTGCACCCACCCTGGGATCGTCGCTAAGACTCACCCGTCCACGTTTGAATTCTCCATACCAACGAGAAATTGTCGACTGATGTGGCGCTTCGTTGCCGAGAACAGACAGTAACTCAGCAAGGTATTCTTCTTGCGATAATTGTCTCTGAAAGTTGTAATAAATTATGTTGCTGAAATGTTCTCGGTTGAGTTCCATTGACACTGGTGACACTTAAAAATTCACTGTAGAGAGAACACTGCCGTATTGTTGTGAAACTTTGAATTTAAGTTTACTAAAGAGTGAGGTTAAGATTCTGTACTGACGTTCGATCCGCGCGGCTTACTATGTTTCTATATGCAAAACTTAAAAGACATCCCTCGTAAACATGAAATCGTAAATATCGTTAATAGAGTATACTGGAAGGGGATATTAGGAGACCAGTATAAAATCATTCAATACTACGGACTGCAGTGCTTATATGAATTGTGAGACATACATGAATCATTCAATTTTTTTGGTGGAAAAACCGATAAAAAAATATTGTTTGTATGATTACATGCAGAGTGTTTTCAAAGTTGTTTTAACAGCTTGTACAACTCGCTAAAAGAATTAAAAATTATTTAACAAAATCATTATCAAGTAAATGGATACCGACTCTTCACAAGCTTCGAAAGTAAAATCCTGTTGTCCACCAATTAAATCACAGGCATTTTCAGTGCGCTGTTGAAGTTCTGCCATAGTATTTACTGCTCCAGCATAATACACCAACTCTTAGAAATAGCCCCACGGAAAAAAATCGCAAGGCGTTAAATCCGGGGAGCGAGCAGGCCAAGAAATGAGTTCATTGCGCCCTATCCAGCTATTCGGAAACTCATTATTTAGACGGAGCCTCTCATGTAGGAACCACATATTTTGTCTCGCATTTAGAGGAACATCTAACAATTGTGACAGATTATGTCAAAGAAAATCTTAATAAATTCCGCCGGTCAATCGAGGTGGAAAACAGTAGGGTCCAATAAGCATGCCTTTTACCACGCCAGCCCAAGCATTTAATGAAAATCTACATTGAACATGAGTTCTTTTTACAGCACGCGCTTTTTTGTGGACATTGTGCATTCCATTTCTTGTAAATGTAGCCTCGTCTGTACACAAAATTAATTTCGTAAAATATTCATTTCCAAACTGTTTTAAAAGTCACTGGCTAATTGCAACTCTTCTAGGATGATTTTCAGGTTGTAACCCTTGTACCCGTTGATAATAAGGATAATACTGTTCTTGTCATATTGTCTTCCACACTCCACTACGAGAAACTTCAACTTGAGCTGCTATGGCTCTAGTACCCGTTCTTAGGTCGTCCTCGACCATTTTTAAAATGTCTTCCTCAATTTGTAACATTTCATCGTGACCTCCTCGTTGTTCTTTCAAATATCCTGTGTCACGAAGTCTAATAAGTAAATTTCCAAACATGTGTGGGGCCGGATGATTTCTTAAAGGATACCTTTCCGCATACAACCCTCTTGCTGCGGCTGCACCTTGTTGGCACTCTCCTCATATTAGTATTGTGTCCACTAGTTCATTGTTTTCGTCATCATAGGCCATTTTATGGTACAGACAAATAAAAATATACGCACTATTTAAAGACATGCAACCAAAAACTCGTACTGAAAACCATCCAACCACACAAAAAGTTTCCCAAATTTAGATAAACGATAAAAGTAGTAAAGAAAAAACGCTAAGATTTTACACGGCAGTGGTCGAGAATATAAAAAAATCTGTGTAATAACTTATTTTTCAAGATTGTTAATCTTTTACCATTTCTTTTATTATGCAACTTTTATATAGGTGATTTTTGGTATATCAACTCGTTTTGACGGATCCTAGAATCGGTTAAAATAAATTACTCAACCTTGAAAACACACCCTGTATACTTAAACGATATTTTACAAATTAATTGTGTTGGAAAAATAATCAGCTTTGCTGATAACACTGCAATATTATAGTTAATAATAATAATTATGTTAGATTTGTATCGCACAAAATTAATACCTTGCGAATATACTGACAGAAAAATAGTTTTGTACATTGATACACTGACTGAGCCTCATCTCACATATGGTATATTAGCATGGGAAGCTGCATGTTCATCACATATCTATAATTTAGATATTTTTCAAAAAAGTATTCTAAAAATGATGTTCAAAAAAACTGACAAATTATACGCAGATACACAAATGAATTATAGATGACAGCTTTATTTCTTACATAGTATCATTCGCTACCATAAATGTGTCAACGCCGACAAAAAAATTAATCAATCATTATACAAGGTACAAAATTCGTGGCACAGTAGTTCTCCAGTCACATAAATCTATAATGCAGCAGTCATATCTCTATTCAGCGCGAAAATTCAATGAAATCATACCTAAAGCTTTAGAAGACATTAGATTTCGGTAATTACTTCAAAAGGAATTTGAAAACATGGCTACATTCTATATTTAGGTCTGAAATTCATAAATTATTGATAAATACGAACATCAAATAAATAGATAAACAACTGTGACTAATTTTTGCTCGTTTTTGTAATTTGGATCCTACAGTTGCAACTTAAAATTACTGGTCCCTGTACAGGTAGGCAAGGCCTCCTCTTGGGCCTGTTTTTATTCTATATTTATTTACTCATGTTGTTCTCTTTGTATACTAAGTGACATATAAATCCGAACACACAGTTTAAATGGTTTTATTTTAACAAAATTTTGTATAAGTACTTAATGAAGCATAATAAGTAAATGATAAAAATTTCAAAATGATTGCACTGCTTTAAAGCCCTTTGACCTTTAATAATGTGTGGATGCACCCTGATGTGCTACGCGTTCTCCAACGCGCCTAGGCATGCTTCTGATCAGGTGGTCAATGTCCTCCTGTGGTATCTCATTCCAGGCAACCACCAACTCCTCTCGAAGTGCTTCTAGAGTCTGAGGAGGACGATGCAAATTGAGCAATCTCCTACCAATCATATCCCACACGTGCTCAATTGGGGATAAGTCGGGAGATCTTGGTGGCCATGGTAACAATGTGACATCATTATGTTGAAAGAAGTCTATTGTGACTCTTGCAACATGTTACCTCTGATGAAGATTAAATGTGACCTGGAACCATAAGCTATAGCACCCCAAACCATAACTCCAACAGTGTGATGAACATGTCTTTCAACAAAAAACTGTGGATTCCTCCTTTCACCACGTCGCCTTCTAACCCTGGCACGACCATCGTGCATGCCTAAACAAAATCGAGACTCGTCACTAAAGACAATACTGTTCCATTCCTGATCCCAGAGTGACCGTTGTCTGCACCACTCAAAGCGATTACGTCGGTGTTCTCGAGTTAAAGGGAGGACCCAGTGTGGCCGGTATGAAAACAAGCCAAAAGTTCTCATCCGTCGGTAAACACTTCGCATGCCAATAGGTCTTCCGTGTTCTGCAAACCATTCATTTGCAATGGACCTGGTAGTGGAGAAACGGTCCCTTAAGGCCAATAATCTTAGGCGGCGATCTTCACGGTCTGTTGTTCTACGGCGGCGTCCAGTGCCCCTTGCTCTTTGCGTACGGCCTTCTCGAAACCATGCCTGACAACACCTAACCACAGTGTCTACACTTATTTGCACTCTAACTGCAATTGCCCGAAAAGAAAGTCCAGCTTCCCGAAGTCCCACTATACGGCCCCTATCAAACTCACTAAGTTGACGAAATCGTACAGGTCTCCGTACTCTAGGCATCGTAACCGATCGTAAAGGATGTCACGAACCAAAATCCGCCAAGGTTGATTCTTTACTGCGGCTGAAATATTCATTTTTAGAGCGTTAGTGAATTAAAAAAAAGCAGTATAAAAACCGGAATGTCCAACTGATAAGGCTGAAAATTTTTTCGCTTGTTATTTACAGTAAGATAAATACATTCACAACTTTTATTAAAATAAAACCATTTAAACTGGGTGTTCGAATTTATATGTCACTTAGTATACATTGAGTGAATAAATATTATTATAGTTATCAATGTTTTAAATTTCATGATGTATTGATTTTTTTTGTTAATAAATGCTTTGCCAGTATGTACAGAACATAACTGCTGAGTAAAAGTAGGACCAAAATATAGACTAACCTGTCGTGAAAGGAAAAGTTCTCTGTGCTTCATTTGATGACGCTGTTTGGGGCTCAGCTGCTCTCTACCACCCGATTCGGGAATCGGACTTCCACTAGATTCATCTAAGGCACCTATAGGTAGGACATGATAATTCGATCAAATTATATGTTTAATAACAGAACCAGTCTTGTGGAACGTGCTTCATGCTTCACAGGTTACAGTGAGCTCTGTAACTTTTAATGATTCTATAATATCATCCAGCGATCCGTTCAAAATAATTAACATAAGCATACCTAAAGAAACGCACCGTTGGTACCTGTCTTGTCATCGCGAAAGGGCACAAAAATACGAGTACATGGTGGCCCATCCACGTGTGGACGGAATATTACTCATAAACAAATACAATTTGAGAAAATCTATTCATGGGATGTTATACATGACGTTTGAAGGTACATGTCTAAGGCCCGTATCGTCAGTCGTCGCTACAATTGTAGGGTGCGTTTATGGCCCCTTGATTGTCATAGTTTTCTACTTCTCCGTGTCAGAGCTCTATTTTGAGGTTATGTCACAAACATCTATTTGCATCAAATTGTGCTTGCTTTTGAGTTATATCATGTTTTATCAGCCTGAAATTTCCTACAATTTAAAAGGAAAACAGATCTTAACAATAGGAGAGCGCTGACGCTGACACGGGACGAGTGTAATCTAAAAATTTTTGAAGGAGAGAAAAGAGTATGACAATCAAGGAGGCCATAAACGCACCTTACAATTGTAGGGACGACTGACGATACGGGCCTAAGATATAAGGTGTCTTGTCTAGAAAAACCCCCCACTTCGGCAACCCCTCAATCCGCCATTTTGAAATTCGGAGTGCTGAATTTTATATCAGAAAAAACTTACTCATACTGGGTGGTCAAAAACGCAAATAGTTTTTCTGATAAATTTCAAATGAATCACCCTGTATATTTGTGCAAATTTGGATTTAATTTTTTATAAGCTTTTTTTGATCCTAGACTCAAGGGTTTTTACGGCTATTTTTTCGGTTATTAGCCCATCTTTTATGGAACGGCTTAATTCCCTAAAATATCGTATCATCCTTGGAAACAAATGAATAGTTGGCTAGTTACAAACTGTCAAAATTAGCTTTGTAATCATTATAATAAAAACATGTTAGAAAATGAATTTATATTATCTGATCATTGTGAGAGACGGTAAGAAAGAAAGAAAAGGGGTGGATATAAACTGAATAGTTACGAATTCCAGACGAGGTTTATTTTATATAGTAATATTTGCCTTTTTAAGGAATTGAATTAGCGCTAAATAAATTTTTATATCCGGAAAGGATAAAATGGTAGTCAGACTTAAAGGTAGTTGGAAGCCAAGTTTAATCATCTGAGCGATTAAGTGGTTGGAGATATTGGTGTAAAGATTACAAGCAAAAAATATGTGATTTAGATCGGCTATAGAAGATTCATCACAAGCACAATTTGGGGACTCTATTACACCTATTCGATGAAGCAGGAAAGCAACCATGACTCAATCTCGTTATAATTGTGGAGAATCTTCTATTCATATAGAAGAGATCTATGTGGGGAATTATATTGGGAAGGGTCGGGTGAATAAGAGCATAATGATTTCGAGAGTTTACTACAAAGTTGGACCAGATCAAATCCCATCTTTTCTTGATGTTACCTCTGATCTCTATAAATAAATCAGAAAAAAGTGGCACATGGGTAATCGTACTAGAGTGAATTGCATTTTTTGCAGCTTTATCAACCATCTCGTTGCCTCTGATGCCAGCATGCCCTTTTACCCAAAGAAAATTTATCTTTGCTCTTTTGGCTTGATGAAGAAATGGTGGAATATAGTAAAAAATATATAAATAATCCAAGTGTCACCAATGAGGCGAATCAGTTGGAGGTTCTATTAAAGTTGCAGGAAAATCCCCATTTAAGTGCACGACAAATTGGAGCAGAAACTGGCAAATATATTTCCAAAATAAATGGAGCTTGAATGTTTGGAGAGGAGTTATTGGCAGACAAGTTATAGGGTCTTTCTTTTTCGAAAACAGATTAACAGGTACAGAAAACTTTGATTTTGATCGAGCATTTGCCTTTGCTTTTGGAGGATGTCAACCTGCAAACTCAGATGCATATGTACTTCCAACATGACGGCGCATCTGCGCATTATCATAATCGTGTGCGTAACTATTTGGACACCTGGAGTAACAATCGTTGGATCGGTCGTGATGTGCCTATATCTTAGCCTCCTAGATCACCAGATATGACACCGATGGACTTCTTCCTATGGGACTACGTTAAGCAAGATGATTATAGATATCCACCATCTACCCCGGAAAACATGAAGGAAAGGATTAAGGATGCTTTTCTGAACATAAGGGAACACATGCTGAGGGAAGTGCAACGGTCATTTATTCAAAGACTGCGGGTGTGTATTCAACATGGTGGAGATATTTTCGAGCAGTTTTTGTAGATTAGGTATTGAGCACTGATAGTTGTTTGTTTATGTTGTGTATGGTTGTTTTCTCTATTACGCTTGAAGCTGATTTATACTGTTCTGATTGTTTTTAGTTTTTACGTCAAATCTGTACTCTAAGGCACGTATCGTCAGTCGTCCCTACAATTGTAGGGCGCCTTTATGGCCTCCTTGATTGTCAGTTTTCTACTTCTCCGTGTCAGAACTCTATTTTGAGGTTATGTCACAAACATCTGTTTGCATCAAATTGTGCTTGCTTTTGAGTTATATCATGTTTTATCAGCCTGAAATGTCCTACAATTTAAAAGGAAAACATATCTTAACAATAGGAGAGCGCTGACGCTGACACGGGACCAGTGTAATCTAGAAATTTTTGAAGGAGAGAAAAGAGTATGAGAATCAAGGAGGCCATAAACGCACCTTACAATTGTAGGGACGACTGACGATACGGGCCTAAGATATAAGGTGTTTTGTCTAGAAAAACCCCCCACTTCGGCAACCCCTCAATCCGCCATTTTGAAATTCGGAGTGCTGAATTTTATATCAGAAAAAACTTCCTCATACAGGGTGGTCAAAAACGCAAATAGTTTTTCTGATAAATTTCAAATGAATCACCCTGTATATTTGTGCAAATTTGGATTTAATTTTTTATAAGCTTTTTTTGATCCTAGACACAAGGGTTTTTACGGCTATTTTTTCGGTTATTAGCACATCTTTTATGGAACGGCTTAATTCCCTAAAATATCGTATCATCCTTGGAAACAAATGAATAGTTGATTAGTTACAAACTGTCAAAATTAGCTTTGTGATCATTATAATAAAAACGTATTTGAAAATGAATTTATATTATCTGATCATTGTAAGAGACGGTAAGAAAGAAAGAAAAGGGGTGGATATAAACTGAATAGTTACGAATTCCAGACAAGGTTTATTTTATATAGTAATATTTGCCTTTTTAAGGAATTGTATTAGCGTTAAATAAATTTTTATATCCGGAAAAGATAAAATGGTAGTCAGACTTAAAGGTAGTTGGAAGCCAAGTTTAATCATCTGAGCGATTAATTGGTCGGAGATATTGGTGTAAAGATTACAAGCAAAAAATATGTGATTTAGATCGGCTATAGAAGATTTATTACAAGCACAATTTGGGGACTCTATTTCACCTATTCGATGAAGATGAGCAGGAAAGGGTCGGGTGAATAAGAGCATAATGATTTCGAGAGTTTACTACAAAGCTGGACCAGATCAAATCCCATCTTTTCTTGATCTCTGATCTCTATGAATAAATCAGAAAAAAGTGGCACATGGGTAATCGTACTAGAGTGAATTGCATTTTTTGCAGCTTTATCAACCATCTCGTTGCCTCTGATGCCAGCATGCCCTTTTACCCAAACAAAATTTATCTTTGCTCTTTTGGCTTGATGAAGAAATTGTGGAATAAGTAAAAAATGTATAAATAATCCAAGTGTCACCAATGAGGCGAATCAGTTGGAGGTTCTATTAGAGTTGCAGAAAAATCCCCATTTAAGTGCACGGCAAATTGGAGCAGAAACTGGCAAATAGATTTCCAAACTAAATGGAGCTTGAATGTTTGGAGAGGAGTTATTGGCAGACAAGTTATCGGGTCTTTCTTTTTCGAAAACAGATTAACAGGTACAGAATACTTGATTTTTTTGATCGAGCATTTGCCTTTGCTTTTGGAGGATGTCAACCTGCAAATTCGGATGCATATGTACTTCCAACATGACGGCGCACCTGCGCATTATCATAATCGTGTGCGTAACTATTTGGACACCGTTGGATCGGTCGTGATGGGCCTATATCTTAGCCTCCTAGATCACCAGATATGACACTGATGGACTTCTTCCTATGGGGCTACGTTAAGCAAGAGGTTTATAGATATCCAATACCTACCCCGGAAAACATGAAGGAAAGGATTAAGGATGCTTTTCTGAACATAAGGGAACACATGCTGATAGAAGTGCAATGGTCATTTATCCAAAGACTGCGGGTGTGTATTCAACATGGTGGAGATATTTTCGAGCAGTTTTTGTAGATTAGGTATTGAGCACTGATAGTTGTTTGTTTATGTTGTTGTTATATTTGTTTTTCTCTATTACGCTTGAAGCTGATTTATGCTATTCTGATTGTTTTTAGTTTCTACGTCAAATCTGTACTCTTAGTGGCAATATGGAACTAGCCCACTGTTTGTCTTTTGTTTCCATGGATGATGTGATTTTCTTCCTTAATTTTGTGTTGTTCTATTAAAAGCTTAATAACTCAAAATCTAGTGATTTTATCCGAATCAAACCTTATACCAAAAAAAAAGCTTACAAAAAATTGAATTGAAACTTGTACAAATATACAGGGTGATGCATTTGAAATTTTTGAGAAAAAGTACAATTTGCGTTTTTGACCACCCTGTATGAACAAAAATGAAAATTCAAAGAAGTACCAAATAAGATAAAAGCTGAGGTGTGTAAGTTTTTTTTTATACAAAAGTCAGCACTCCAAATTTCAAAATGCGGATTGAGGGGTTGCCGAAGTGGACGGTTTTTCTGGACAAAACACCTTACATCTCAGTAGCTAATTACCAAAACCCCATAGTATGCTATATCAATCACCTTCTTTTGAA